TCCGTAGAATCTCCGCAAACTCCGTAAAACAAGGCTGAGTCCTAAAAAAATTAACTTTTCGACGACAAATTAGGTCCCGGGATATTTTATCATAATGGATGATAAAGCAAAAATATCATCAAGTAGTGGTACTCTAGATCAAATCTACTTAGATCATCTAGGTAGTAGAACTAGATTTTAGCTACGCAAGATCATCAAGATCATCACCATCTTCAATGGCAACGTGACGAATCACCACGTCGACAAGGACCATCCTGTTCTTCACTAGTTACAACTCAATCCTTTCCCTTAAGAACAATGCTGTGGTGTCGAAGGTTTTGTACTTGAGCTCCATCATCATCAGTGTTTCCATGAAGTCGTCATCGTCCAGGATCTCTGCGCCAGGCACCCCAGGCATCGTAAAGGATCCGCCTTTCGATCCGAAACAACCCATTTGATAGTCTCCTTGTTAGTCTTGCTTGTTGGTCTTCTAGAGGTCGTGCCTGGTCAGCCCATGATACACATACAGGAGATACTATTGGTAATGTAGTGCGAGTGGTACTCTCAAGCTGCCCTACTATTTCGTGAAAGTAATCTCTCCACTTCTGTTGCGTCAGAGGCACCCTTCGATCGTCGGTGTAGTTGCTCACGCCCTCTCAGAGGATTCTTACCTACACGAACTACTCTAGGACCGCCTCTAGTGTGCTTGTTGGTCTTCTAGAGGTCGTAGACGTCGTGGATAAAAGTTGGAGAGGTCTAAAAGTTGGAGAGGTCGTACTCGTAGAAGTGGTCCTGGTCAACCCGAATTCATTTCGGTAATGTACTGCTTCTGGCGCTGGTGGACGCGCAGGTCATCGCTGTTGAGGAAATCAAAGATGTAGCAATACCCTGACGATCAACAAGGCTAAACAAGTCTTTGTTCCGCGTCATTTCTGTAAAAGCCGAAGTAGGAGAGCGTCTCCGTCTGCTCGTCGATGTCATCTTGTCCACAAGCAAAATAGCCTGATCAGTGTCGTCATCGTCTCGATGCAACTCGCTGTCCCCTTCGTTCAGGATCGCGTCATGCCACTCGCCACCGTACACTCGAGTCACGCTCACGCACGAAAGAATTAATCCACAAATCGATGGATGTAATTCAAGAAGTTGATTGATGTAGCAGCTGGCGAGCTCTCCCTCCAATTACTTATATTATTCGCCTTGGCGTGTGCAAATACAGGTTACCTCAGTAACTTCTAGGTCGTTGATGGTGACCGTTTCTCACGTGTGCCTACCACTCAACATCGTCATCCCGTGTACCGCTGCCGTGGATCATAACGAAAGCGGTCGCAACATGGGCTTACCGTGCCGGCATCCTCCAGCTCAACTCATCCTTATCCTCTTTGGCAAGATGAACAACTAGTGAGAATGTATCATATTTATACCATTTAAGAATGGGAAGATCAAGATGATGCTGTGAAGGAAATAGTCTATTTGAATCTAGATAAGCACAATCAAAGAAACAGAGCCCTGGGTTCTAGCTGTACTCGGTTAAGTCAGTTCTTCGGCTTCGGCGGAAAAAACAATATAAAGCACATTTCTTCTAGAGTCTCTTCTCCATCCTTCTAGAAGAAATGTGCTTTATATTGTTTTTTCCCCCCCATCCATCTAAGTGGGGCAGGCAACGGCAGGATCTGTTTCCAGGCTCTGCTCTCCATCACTCATGCAAGCAACGCTAGCTCTATTGACATGCTTGGCAGTTCACTCTCCGTTGTAATAGGTAATTCTTCCGAACAGAACAAGCGCTGTGTTCCTGTTGTATTTTTCTCTCAAGTACATGCGTCGGATTCGTCCTATGGCTATGGTTGTCTCATTCAGTTTCTTCTCGAAGTTTTTTGAAGGATACTTTCATAGCTCGTGAAATTCGTCTCGTTGAAAAACGAAAATCTTTGTCCTCCTCCTTCTGGTTTACCACTATTCCTACTTCGACTTCCTGTAACATCACCAGTGCTATTGGGATTCTTTCCGTCTCCGACAACATCAGTAATCATGCCGCCTGATCCTGATGTACTTGGTACTTCTCCTTGTTCTTCCACCCCTGTTGAACCATCATTTACCGTCTTGCCCGCATCGTCGCTTTTCTCTTCTGCAACGTTTGCGTCTTCATCATTTTGTTCTAGTATCTTCGCCGGCGCAGACATCGAGGACGGCTTCACGACTTTACCTAACATTTCGCTTACCGTGCGCCGACTACCTGCTGAACCTGCTGATGTCACACTATTACTTCTATAACCACCAGATGCAGACGTCATACTAGCACTTGTAGTAGAGGACGAGGAGTAGTTCCTTTTTGTCTTGATGTTACTCGACACTGACATGTCGCTCGACATCTTCGATGGTACGACTCTGTTTTTTGAAGATGAAGATCCCGCCGAGGGCTCGTCCTGCTGGTCTTCCTTTTTACTAGAATCCATATTCCGCGCTTCCTCATCGAGTTCTTTCCGGTTTCCAGATGAATTTTCCACTTGCTCCGCAAAAGCCAACCGAGAAGCACTACTACTTGTTCTTCTACCACCTCCACTAACTGTAGTTAATGTGCTACCCATCGTTATATTGTTCTTCACGTCGTCTTCGTAACTTTCGTTTCGAAGTTCAGGAGGCAAAGAGAACCCACCGGCGGAACCTGTCCTTTTCACGTCTTCAGTAGCCGGCTCTCCTCCGTCTGTAGATGGTACCGAGATACGAACACTTTTTTTCGAAGATCTTCTGCTAGTCGATGAGGACGATGATCTTAGAAGGAGATGGATCTGGAACTGGAGTCATGATCATTATTAGCAAAATCAAGATCTTGATCTTGATCCTCATCAATCGAGATGAACGAGAAAATATAGAAGTGAGCCATGATAGGATCATAAATTTTCAACATTGCTCCTGCTACTCGCTCCTACCCTGCCCTCGTCTTCTCCAACCACTACCACGCTTGCCGTACTGGTCTTCTGTACTGGTTTCAAGTTTCCACTGATCGTCTTCTCTGCGTGTTCATCTTCCTCATGTCGATGAAGGTCCTCCAAATCTTCCTCATGTCGATGGGTCGTATCAATTTCCAAACCTTCCACACCAGGAGCGACGCCAAAATGCTTGTACATTACACGCGTGTACTTGCTGAGACAGGAGAGTAGGCTTTCGTCGTTCTTCTCCCGTTCCGAAGCCTCCACCTCTAACTTCGAATGAATCAGTGGCGCTATGAACGTACGCGGGAACTTTAAGTTACCACTAGATGATCTTCATCATAAGAACGATTTATTACAAGAATAACTAACTAACTGGGTGTGGGAGGCGTTGGAATAATAATGAATCAACGATAGGAATAGCCGTATACAAATGAAGCTACGACAAGAATCTTAGTGGTGCAATACCTAGATAGAAGCATGTTGCACATGCGGTATGACCTCCAAAACGTCCAATATCATCTCTCAACATAACAAGTTCGGGTGTGATGCAGTCTTTGAACCAGTTGTGAAAGGTCTTGAAGCGCAAGTCCAGGTCTGAGAGTTCGGATCGAAGACCCCTAGCACTCGCCTCCAAAGTATGGTAAAACTCCTCTTTCCATCCTAGAACTTTCTCTCTCCAAACATTTTCGACCTGCATTTTGAATTAGAGCATAGACATGCAGAACGGTTACAACAGTAGAATCCATCATCATCAAAACAAATCCATCACATCAATCAGACTACTTAACGAACAGGGACCAAACAGACTACTTAGTAACTTCATCTCGATCAGTGGAGCAAGACCAGCCTACTTAGCTAAAAACGGGCGTTTTATCTTCCGCAAATTTATCACAATAATCACCAGCCTCCTTAACTAACAGGCGTTTTGTCTTCCGCAAGTGCTGCTTCTTCTAAGTTCTCCAGTTTCTTGTCCATGATGGCTAAAGCATCCAAGATTTGCTTCTCCCTAGACATTCGCAATTGGTGCTCCACTACAGATACCCTTTGTGAGGCCTTCTCTAGATCACGGCTTAGGATCTCGCGGAGTCTGAAGGAACAGGATTGTGCGTGGGGTGCATATAAAAAATGTTTATAATACCGGTGGGGCTCGTCATCTAACTAGGAAACAAAATTACATAAAAAGCAATAGATCCAATATAATGTTTGTAATGATAAGAATAATTATGTTGATGTGGGGGGACTAGATTGCACCAGGTACCTAAGGACCATAAAGGTAAGGACCATGTTGGGGTTACCCTACTTGGGTGAGTAGTCAACATAATCTCTGTCCCGAATTTTCGGTTTATGCGGTCCTCCAATTTCCGTAATTCCGACTCAAAAGCTGTGGCGACGCGAGCCATCGCCACTTTAATCTGGCTTTCGATTGCCACATTGAGGAATTCCAAGGCATCGTCGTCAGTTCCACCTTCAACTGGGAGATCTCGTTCTACTTTCACTTGTTCAGGGTTTTGGACTTGTTCGGTAGTCCGCGAAGGCATTCCTTTGGTGGACTCCGACATTTCTGTTGTTTTGATGAATACAATTTCAAGTTGATGTACTGTTAAAGTTCTCCTTTCTTCTAGAATCAATTTTTTACCTTAGAGAGAGTGGACAAGGAGGACGACAGAGAGAGTGTGTTTGATTCTCCGACCTGTGAAAGTGATGGTTTTTACCTTATAGAGCGTGGATGATTTTTTTCAGAAAGCACGAAAGTGCGACAGCAATCTGAATAATCTCGCGGTGAGAGAGAGTGGAGGAAGCCTTTTCGGGTCCAGGTGACTAATCAACTTCGTTTGTAGAGTCTACAACAGGTACTCTCTTCTCACTGATTTGAACTTGAGGTTGACATGACAGCTTCGAAAATTTGGGAAATAGTTTGGATACAAGAGCTGGTGGGGAGGGAGGAGGCAGCACTCTCCTTCATTTACATCACATAGTCCTGCTCAGGAGTAAACAACTCCTAGGTTGGTTTACCTGCAGTAGGTGGAAAGGGAAGACAGCATTCCTGCTTCTAGGCGGAGGTGCGTGACTGAGGTGTACGTCTTCTTGTTGTCATGAAAAGATTATAAGTAGACAAGAAACATGAAAAAAAAAACAAAATTTTGCACCAGTGGGGGTGATCTGGTCAAATAGTTCTTGAGACAGGAAGATTATCCTCCTCATATTGTTCTTGATTCTTTTTCGTAGCGTCAGCGTTTCCGTTCCGTTTTGCTCTACTAAGTCCTATAGACAATGACTCCATACTATGATCTTCCCTGTAGTTGAAGTCAAAGTTCTTTCATGTTCTTTATCCGCGCATCCGCATGTGCTTGCACAACTGGGAAGTTGTAGTCCAGGTTTAACTTCAAGTTTTTTAGAATGTAAATGTATTTTTAGCGTCGACCTAAAAAGACTGATATTGAAAATGTGATATTGAAAATCTTCCTACATCCTCGTGATCGAGAACAGCTCGTCACGTCGTCTCACCTTCCTCAGCGTCATCATTGTCTTCGTCCTCATCGTCATCATCCTGTTCCTCCTCTACCACTTGCTCCGCTGTGTCGGTTGCCTCTGCCACACCTGTTGAGACTAGCGTTGGCTCTCCTAGGAATATCCCGTGTCCTTGTGCGGCCTCCTCCGAGACACCCTGCGATGCCGCTTGCTGAGGTTTGTTGTGAAGGTGATCGTGGTGGACGTGGATGCATATCAAACAAATTTCATGGTGGAAACTGATAGATTATGCGCAGTTGGCTTAGTGGTTTAGGCGTTGGCCTGTTCACTTATCAGAAACAGAGAACGGGAAAAGACAAATATGAAGACATGACACTGCTTCAAGCTGTTCCAACAAGTGAACCTCCAACAAGTGATTCTCTACTAACAAGAATCTTCTAATGCATGAAAGGCAAAAATAACCAAATACCTGCTGATAAAATAGTGCCAGTTGGCTTTCAAGTTGCGACTCCAGCAGTTGCATTTCCCTTGTGGCAACTGGGTCGTTCGGATGGTACAGAAAATGCTGCTCTAACTGCGTTCGTTGCTGTGTTAACATCTGGATCTGCATCTGGGTTCTGTAGTCATTTGTTGTGGTGTAAGATTAGGTTTTGTTACAAGTGTACTAGATGGTTGTAGCAATTGTGCACATTTTTGATTTTCGCTTAGAAGCTGCATTCATTCTTAGTACAAGCGGATATTATGAAACACCAAGTCCGTTGTACGATAAGCGTAACAAGAACAATACGATAGAAGAAGCTGCTGCTGAGATGCAGCAGTCAGTGCCGCACCGCCATGCCTCTGCTGTATATGCGACTCCAACAAAACCGCTACCGCTTCCTGCTTACTTTGTTAGAAGAAGCTGATTGCATATTAATGTCAACTCGAACTCCCGACGAGGAAAAGAAACTAGAACTACTTATGTATCATGGTGTTACTGAGAAAGAATCTTTATCTCAATTTTTATTCTTGTTGAGTGCCTAGCACCTTGACGAGCGAATGATTCAAAAAACCTCCAATAAGGAAGAGGGACATGCACAGGTAGAAAGAGCACATTAAGGTGGTACTAACCAAAGCCATAATTATGCCACGCCTCTTCCAGGGGTGTTCGATTCTCTGTCGCTGATACTTCTAATGGATTCGCTTGATACTGGAGCAAGCTTTGTACCACGATGTTTAGAAAGGAAGAGGACGAGACAGATCGATAGAGAGTGATCATGTTAGCTTGAAGAAGGAACGTCCTTAAAAAGTCCTTAGCACTACAGATGAAGGTGGATGATGACATACATGGTTGTAGTAGTGGTACTGGTAGTGGTTACTTTCAAAGATTGCAAAAGGCCGACTAAGTACGCAAATAACACATAATTCTAGATGCCCCTCTCCTGCAGCGATAAAGAGTGGGGACCAGCCCTTGTCCCCACCATCGTCCGGGTGCGCACCGCCAGCCAGAAGAACATTCACTGAGAAAGAATTTCGATAGAAAAAATCAATCATCATCATGAAGGCCGCCCCTTGTTCAACATATTGATATAATCTACTTTCTTAATCGTCGTAATACAAAGTACCTATTTCTGTATGCCCTTCTCTTGCTGCTACTAGCAATGGCGTAGATCCGTTCTTCGAGATTGCGTCGACGTTGGCCTTATGCTGCAATAGGATTGCGCACATGTGCCCTGTGCCGCGAGATTAGAGTTTTTCAGAAATGATAACTGGTGGTAAATAACCTAGAGAGTCGTGGCTCATAAACGTAGCTGCACTCGTGTAACGCCGTGTAACCATAGGCCCCCTTCACATTCGGATTTGCGTTCTTTATCAGCAGCATCTGGATCAAATTCATATTCCCCGAATGTATCGACTTCTGCAATAAAGTCGCACCACTAAACGGACACTTCTGGCGAACGGAAAGGCCTGAATTTTCATTGGTCAGAAGCAGATTTTATTTGCAGAATCTGTCGTACTGCGGCTTCAGATTAATTTATAAAAAGGAGACGAGTAGATTGGTCCTCGACCTAGTGTGAGTTTGAGTTTGATTCGCTATCTTTGAGTTCTCCAACAATGCGCAAGCGATGGTAGTACAAACCATCTATGAATCTAGTTTCAAAGAACTTCATAGTTCATACGAGAAGAAAAACAACTACTTCATACCTTGTATCGTCAAGAGCCACATGCTGTCTATGCATCCGGATTGCGCAACCTCGTGGACATTTAGCTCCCCACTCGTAAGTCCTAAATCGTTGTTCAAATCTGAGAGCATTTCCGTGAATATTAGACAGCATCTCTCTTTGGCAAATAGGCTATATATTTATTTAAGGAGCATGCTTCGGCACGTCTGCGCTAACAGGTGATGTGATCTCTGAGTTGAGTAGGGAGCGAACCGGAAGGGCACAGAGACAGACTCGCAACTACCCTTTTCTTCACGACCAGAGTGGATCAGGAAGTCACCCCACCCCCATCAAGAGATGGAGATCTTATAAACTTAATCAAGACATCAACCGATCCCCCTGCCCGTCAAGAGATCTATCTTAAAATCTTCATCTTAAGCAAATAGAGATCTAAATAGAACCACATTTGCCTTAAGAATATATCGTCTGGTAGCCGCCATGCGAATAACCGCGAGCACATCTTCAACTTGAGCCATATCAACGGATGATACTTCACTATGCATTTTATCTGAAGTTGTTGCGAGAAGTATTGACTATAGAAATTGTACACTAATGGGGAGGGATAGAGGATCTCGTAGTTGTAAAAGAAGTTCTATTGGAGAAACACATGCACAAGAAATCAATATGAGCTCTCCTGAATCCAGGTAAGCTAGTTTTTTTTTAGAAGCTGAAGGAAGAATAGAAATCAATGTTTGTAAGCTAGTACTATATTCTTGTCTTTGAACAGCTGGCTGAATTTGGCGACCGTTTGTTTGGCTGGTGCTACTGGTACAATGGCTTTTCCTGGCTCTTCAGCAAGCGTCGTCCTTCCCTGCGACGATGCGACAGCATCACCCGTAGATGGTGACGCGTTCGTCATTTTGGGGTTTCTGACAAGTTGTAGAAGTAGATGTAGATCTGGCCTCTGCTCTGACAAGCTGTAGATGTAGATGTGCTGTAAGTCTCTTGCTGGATGGGGTCAGGCCTCTGCTCTGACAAGTTGTAGATGTCGATCTGGCCGCTGCTGTGACAAGCTGTAGAGGTACTACTTGAGGATTATTCCGTATTTTCTAAATTGACAAGTTCTTAGAGACAAGGCTCTTGGAGGTGGGGATCTACTGCCTTCATCTGTAGAAGTGTGTAGATGACTAGCTGGAGGTCTACTACTACTATCTGCGACTGGTGGACAAGGTCAAGGTGGTCTGCTGCAGTACTTGTACCGTGTTTCCTACAATCTGAAGCGGAACGCAGCTCTTATTGTCGTGACCAACAAGTAGACGAGGTTAGGTCTCGTAGCTGGCACTTCCGAGTTCTTCTTGGAGGTCTGGTGTACTTGTAGGTTCTCCTCCTCTTGCTGGAACTGGAGCCGTATTAAAATGGGTTCTTCTTGGGGTATCTCATGTGCCTCTTGTAGCTGGACCGCAGCTCCTACTTTTGTGGAACAAACCTCCTGTAGACTTACTAGCCGCACCAGCAATTTGGGTACTGTGGCGGGAGTCTTCGGTAGAACCCCTGTAGCTGCTGGGACTCCTGCTGTGGCTGGAACCACGGCGGGGGCGGGGATGAATGTAAGTAAGCGATCGCCTCCAGAACGCGCGTGGAACCACGAAGTCGGTTCTTTTATCTTCAAGATTCTTAGTTGTTACTGTACCTGTTCTTGCGCTTGCAATCTTGTTGGACCTAATCTTCTCTAAAATCTTCTCAAAATTGATGTAGAACTCATGAGACAGGCAGACTAGTTCGGAAGAATGAGAGAATCACCGCTTGTTGCTTTCACTGGTGCTGATGTATGTTGTTCTTGTGGATGAAGATCATACGACGAGGCGCAACTACTTGTCGATCATTCCACTACTAGAACATCAAGAGCTGCACTTTCGCCTACGCGTGCCAGAAAGATGCAAATTTGTATACTAGGAGAGTAGCTCCACCTTATACCCTTGCGCCTACAGCGGAGAGCGCTTCTGGAGAGCAGTACCTTTCCCGTCTATAGGAGGAGCGAGTGTCGCACACTAAGTAGAATCGCATCCGCAGCCTTCAGGTCTTTCCTTCAGCAGGCTTCCATTTTTCTGTGGGCTTTCCTTCATCTAGTGGTAGTACATCCACGACTGAAGGAGATGTTTGGTCTACGTTTTTACTCTTTAGTTTGTTGTAAAGATGAAACCTTCTAGTGAACAAGAAAATTTAATACATAGTTCTTTCTTCTTTCCCACCTTTCAACTACAAAAATATTGATATTGAAAAAAGGAAATCACTCGAATACTAATGCCATCTTTCAAGAACCTCAAACGTGCACCCATTTTTTTCTCAACATAGTGCAAGAAATAATCTTCAGGCTCACCTCAAAATAAGATAACAAGACGTGATCGTCGAATGTATTGACTTTTATGGTTCCCTTTCTTCTCTTTCAGAACTCTAAGTAGTAGCTTCACAAGTAGCAAGCTCTTAGCTTTCATCTAGGGCTCCCGGTCTCATCTGCTCGTCAGAGCTGAACACACTGCTCGTATTCATCATCTGCGACCCAGAAATCCCTTCCAAAAAAATATCCTTCTGCGGTCTCTGGCTCTGTGGCTCTTCATCTTCTGAGGAATCACAAACTACGGCGCAGTAGAAGTACTCGTCCACCACCTACAACATCATAGAATGAACTCTCGTCTTGGAGCTCCAATGATGAACATGGAGCTGGTGTTCCTGCTGCTCCATAATGTGCAGTACTAGTATCGTGTACATTCATCTCGCTAGCCTCCAGGGTGCCATGGCTTCTTGTTCTTTGTTCCTACATGCATAGGATGAAGCAATAAACCCGCGGAAGCTGGCAAGAATGGTTTCATCTCGGGTATCCTGCAGCTCGGTTGTGCCTCTATCATCATCTTTTGTAGTCATTAATTGATTCCTGCTTACTTATTTCTTTAGCTATCGACAAGAATAACAGACAATCGCTTCCTTCGTTCTATAAAAAATTAGAGCAACATAGTACTTCCTGCAATTATTTGTTCTAGTTTCTACTGGTACTGTATGGTGCTCGGTTTCAGCAGGATCGGTACATTTTAAACGCTCATATTTACAAATGGTATAAAATGTTCATTTTAATAGATAATGATATCACATCGCTGGAAGATGATGCCTCTTTATGTCTATTTTCTACACCTAGCATTGAAGATTCAATATTGCTCGTTCAATTTCATGAAGATTCATCAAATTCGTAGAAACCACATCTACACGGAGAAACTCCTAAATTCCCGCTTTTATCATACAACGGCCTTAGGCATAAAAACTTCTAAAAATGTTCCTAGCTCTAGGCACCAAAGCCAATATTTTCCACAACAACGAAATGTCGGCGCGCTTACAACCAATGTTCTCATCATCTCATCTACATCTTTAATATCATCTAGGAAGAAGTGAGTGCTCTACCCTTCGCTTCTATCATATATGAGTACTGCTCCAAGCGAAGCTCTCATCGCACAGTTATTAAGACTCCAAGGGGAGTCTTCTCCACACGCCAAATCTCTCAACATTAGTACTATCTAAACCTATTACCTTCATACTCATCAGAACCGTCATATTCATGAAATTCAAAGCCTTCAGACTTTGGGGATCTTCTGGTGATCATATCAGACAGACTTTGACTTCAAATCAATATCAATACACCTGCCTCCACACGTGGAAGTGATCTGATGAAGAAATTCATTCAAGCAAAAGTTTTGTGCAAAAGCAGTAGAGAACTCAACATCTCCAATATCACACGTCGACGCTATTCCCATTAAACAAGTCGATATAATGTCTCCTTTAATTCCTCAAGCGCATGTTTTATGTCGTTCGGACTCGAAGGAGGACTGCCCACCTCGGGCATCAGATTTACATGGACTGCTCGCTCCACGAGCTCTCGGTAATCATGTTCCAGACCTTCCAGGGCCGTCAGGTGGGAGACGCCTCGACCTCCAGGTAAGTTGTGTTGTTGGGCACGACGGTATGAATCCAGAGTATCAATCTCCCCTTTCATGTCCTGAATCATCGGAAGCACTTTCGCAATGGCCTCCACCTGGATGTTTGATCAATTTTTAAATGTAGAGGGCTGTCGGCGGAGTTAGGTACTTATTGGTTATGTATGGTGGTGTTTTGCGATTCGTATCGGTGAAAAAAATCATGATTTGGAAAGGCAATCCTTTTCTACACAAGTACACATGTATGACTTTGAATTGACTCCTCCTCCTTCATATTAGAATGTGTGCACGTGCTCTAAATTTCTTAAAGTAGTCTGACATCTTTGCTCGCGCCACGACATCGGGGAAATTTGCACAAACACAACATAACTATACTTGCTCTACTTGAGCAGGCTGACATAAACAATAACAAATATTCGATCGTAGATACTATTTATTATCTATACCTGTACTATTTTATTATGTTAGCGTTTGTGGTGGAGCTAGCCTGTAACTAGAAGAAAGAAAGATCCGAGGAAGATAGAAAAAAGGAAAGGCTAGCCATCGCGCATATTCTTATCGGATGGAACTGACTAAGCGCCGGCGCTATCGACGTCCTGCCAGCCCCGTAGGTCTCACCTTCGAAGGCAGGCCGAAGCCTTGCGCAACGCCTCCTTCGAGTGCTTAGTTCCCTGGCTGTGTGCACGCGTTTACTCGCTAACGCTATGGGGTACCGGTTCCGAAATAAACCCACAACCAGAGAAAAGGGCCCTCACTACTTTCTAATACTGTTAACTTTAAACCCCCCATAACTTTGTGTTTCGGTTTGTTTTTGTGCCTTTGCGTTTGTTTTTATTTCTTTGTGTTTGTTTTTATTTCTTTGTACTGTCTATCCCTTTGCGCTTGTTTTTGATTTCATTTCATGGAAGCGGCCCTGCCTCCCTTTGCGGGGGGTAGTCTATTGCATACAAATAAGAAACTAGACATTAAATTTGAGCGCGATTACCTCCTCGTGCCATTTCCGCAAGTCCGCTGAAACATCCGTCAGAACTTTAATCACAACATCGGCAGAATCTCCCATTTTATCGATCAGTCGATCCAATTTCGACTTCGATTCGTCAGTCATTCTCACTTTCTCTAGGCGTCCGCGGAGGAAGTTATAGTCCGCATCCATCGTGGCGGAAACGGGCACCTGTCCGTGAATCTTTCTTGCCTCCGCTTCCAAAGACGCATGTGCCTTCTTCAACGCATCGCCCACCTGGTTTTTCAAGATTCAACATACACGGCCTGACACATGCTACAGGCAGAACTCAACAGAAAAACACTCAATTCTGAAGAAACCGAAACCGAGACAAGCTACTAAAATAGAGCAGTCTATCGAGATTCCAGATCCCGGGTGGGGTAAACCGGATGGGCCGGATGGGCGTCCCAGGTCCGCTAAGCATTTCGAGGAAGGCCCGAAGACCTAGCTCGGCCCAATCGATCCATCCGACCAACCCAAGTCCATTTTACATCCGCTCTGTAGACTGTTCCACTAGAACTATTGGAAAGAAACAAGGAACAAATGCAAGCCCAAGCACAAAAATACATCATGAAACAGCGCCAAGGAAGCCGGCTCCTCTGTTCTCCCGGAATTTCTCACCCCAAGCCGGACAACAACAAGAACAACGACAAGAGAAGAACCGCGGGAAGAGACCTCCCGAAACCGCAAAAAAAGCTCCGCCAAGCATTGACTTGGGCGCGAAGCGTTAGCCAGCGGCCCCGCGGCGGAATCGGTCGGCGCCGGGCGTCTGATAGATCTGTCAGAGAAAGAGAGGACACCCAGCAACGGGACAAGCGAGGTGCATTCTATCTACTTACCCACGCCGGCTTACCGTTCCTTCTGCCTGGTGATCTTCGTCCCCCTTCAAGATATGATCGGCGGGGACGAAAACTGAAAACGCGCAGAACGGACGCAGCCACGGGTCTCTGAGAAGCAGTGGTGACCTTCGTTCACAATCAACACCCCCAAGAAGGGAGCACCACACGCCAACAAAACAAGCGACGCAGCCGCGCGGTCAGCGTTATCACGTCCCCCATGCAAAAAATTAATGGGGCTATTTTCTAACTACTCGGTCGCACCACCCGGGCCCGATCGTTCGATATACTAAAAAGAGCAGAACACAGAAAACAGCCACACGGAAAACATAGAGAGAGGCCAGTATATAAGCAGAGGGCGGGGCGGGGAAACTACAGAGAAACAGAGAAAGACAAGCACGCACACGGGAGAAGCGAGCCCCTGCGGAATGGTCAGACGAGTGATGGCACTCGCGGCGGCGTCCTGCGTCAGAATCCATTCGCAGGCGGCTCCCGCTGCTGCAGCGAATGAGACGACCAACGAGAACACGAACGCAACAAAACCGAAGCCGGGCCCTTGGGCAAGCCGGGCCCGGAGCAATACGTGCCACGCAGGGGCAGAACGGCTCCGGGCGTCCCGCGTCAGTCCACAAACGCGAAAGGCCCCCGGCTAGCATCCTCCCGCACCCGGCCACGGTGAAACGCCGGGAAAACGCGGCACCCACAACAAGGGGAAAGGCGACGAACATACCGCCAGGTTGCTCCCCATCCTGTTCCACTTTCAAACACGACATGCGCCATCTGGAGCTAGAACTTCCAACCCCCACTATCACTAAGCCCTAGCGTTAGTTCTGTAACTGTATCAAATGGATACAACTGCTTCGCTGCGTATAGTTGCACAGGAAAATACACCTGGGCCCGACTCAATCTCGCTCACCCGTCTGCTTCACTACAATTACAAAATTTCCCAAGTTTCCATGATACTATCTAATTGGGCACATTTTAACTTTCAGAGTCACCTTCTATCTACTTACTTAATTTGGGCTCAGTTTTATACCGCATGAACATTTTCCGAACTGGAACGCTGCACGGGCGGGCCTACTTCTCTATTATTGGCCCACCGAAAACATCACATACGAGACTACCTAGAAAGAAAAAGCGTATAGTACCTCGGCGGATATTTTGTCGATATCGCTCTGCAAATGGTTGTACTGTTTTGCCGACACTCGCAGAAAATTGGATCTGTCCTTGTGTTCACCGCCCAGAAGCGAGGCTGGAGATTCGGCCGCGACATTCACAGCGAGCGCCCCATTCTCGATCTCGTCGCGAGATTTTCCGAGATCCTTTTTTTTCTCTTGATACCAGTGCGAGGTCTGACCTACTCCATGTCCATCTGTCACCTTCAAGACCTCGTATGCATTGGAAAGTGCAGCTGCCTCTCTGTGTAAATCACCATACGACTCCCGCAGCTCATAAATTTGGGCAGCCTCCACCTGGTTTTTCAAGATTCATGCACGACATGGACATTATGCGCGACACAATCAAACTACCAAGGAGAAGCACAAGTAAGAGCCAGAGATGACGCCGATGGAAGCAGAGCCAGAGATGACGCCGCATCCAACGACGCTAATATGCTGCATATCATCTTTTTTTTTTAGAACGCGTGTACCTCCTCCTTAATGCTCTTCAGGGTGCCACGCCAAGTTGATATCGCCTCTTGCATATCTTTCAGAGCTTCTTCATCGTCAGCCGGAGGCAGGGCATCCACCGTTGTAGACAGTAAAGCGTCCAGCCTAGGGCCCTTCTGTCCCATAGATTCGATCAATTCCTGTAGAGCACGGATATCCTGGTTTATCTCGCCAGAGAAAGGGAAGTCGTCATGGGCAAGCTCCATTGCCACCCGAAGCTCTTTAACCTCTTTTTGCAACTCACCATACGAGTCCTGCAACGCCTGGAATTCCGCCTTTTTTTGGGCAGCCTCAAGCTCAACCTGGTTTTATTTCAAGAGGCTTCACAGACGACATGATCATACATGTTGCACGCAAAAGAAACAACTGAGAAACATGACTTATGAACAAACCGAAGCTGTTCAGCAGTTGGAAAGCAACATTTAAACAATAACAAATAATAAATGGAATCGCAAAGGCATCAGCCTCAAAATAAATGCTCCAGGTGCCTGCCTGTGCCCTACAGGCTTCCCAGGTGCTGGCCCCTCGCCGCGGCAGCAAAAGAGCAAGGCTGGACCCCCTGAGCCGTGTGGCCTGTACCTTGGTCATCGGCCCGCTGGCTTTTGCCGCGCATTTGATGAGGCCAACCTCGCAAGAGAGTCCAGACCCCGAGACCTCGGCCGCCTTCGGCGGCCTTCTACCCCAGAGACCTCCCGCGCGGGAGGGTCGACAGAGGCCGGGAGGTCTGTCGGGAACATGCAAAGAGGCGCCAGGGGACGCCCGCTCCCAGTTTTGACGCCTTCGACCCCGAGAATCCGCGAAAAGAAGCGCGGAGAAGAGCGCGCAAGCGCCACCACAGGGCCATCCACAGGCGGGGGGCGTGCGTCCCTGTATCATGCATAAAGAAGTGACACACTAAGAAATCTTACTGTTTCTGCAGCAAGTTTTAAACTTATACTGCCAAAGCATAGCTGTAGGCAACTTCTAGATAAGGAAAATGGAAAGAAACATGAGCTCCAGCTGATTTAATCTCCGCTCCCGGTCCTCCGAGGCATCCGACGATGCATCCCGTGCCGGGGGGAAATTGCCCGCGCTTTGCGATCTTTACTCCCGGCACCGACGCGGCCGTAGCGGTTATGGCTGCCATACGCGAAGCGCACGAACGGCGACGAGGGAAAGCGCGTCCACGACCCATATTTTTTTTGCAGAACAATAAGCAAGAACAAGTCCTCAAAATAAACGAAGACGGAGTCTTTGTGTCTCTGCTCCACTTAGACTGAGCGTCGGAGTCCAAGATTCTTACTTTGTCTAAGAACTAACTACGATTTTTCTTAAGTACTTTTTATAACTTGATTGCAATCGCTTTCTTTTTATTTGTTGTTGTAAAAAAGTTTTTTTGGGAAGGTGAATCAACGATAAGTGATTCGTTGCAGATGGGTTTTTCGCTGTGGCTGGAAGTGAAAATCTTACTACATCTATATGCATAGTAGAGACGTTATTTCTCATAAATCTATACAAGTTTCATCGTCACTTGTTTGTTCTCTCGACAGACTCCTGCTTATCTCTCTTCGCTACAGACTACATCTCTTTGTATCTTCGCTACTTGGAGGTCTCTCTTGTCGCTACAGACTAATTCTGTGTCTTTCTTCGATACTTGGAGGTCTCTCTTCTCGCTACAGACTAATTCTGTGTGTCTCTTCGCTACACACTTGGAGGTCTCTCTTATCGCTACAGACTAATTCTGTGTCTCTCTTCGCTACTTGGAGGTCTCTCTTCTCGCTACAGACTAATTCTGTGTGTCTCTTCGCTACACACTTGGAGGTCTCTCTTGTCGCTACAGACTAATTCTGTGTCTCTCTTCGCTACTTGGAGGTCTCTCTTGTCGCTACAGACTAATTCTGTGTGCCTCGCAGCTACCACAGACTGCACCTTCCTGCTCTTCAACTGAAAAGGACAGATACTTTAGTCATGATAATCAGGCAATTTAATCGCGGAGCCTTCCTCGATGAACAGCACATTGAAAGATAATTGCAAGAACGTCGAGAAGAAATAGGAGTTCTTGTAGTGGCACTAGCTTCTTGTCGCGTTGTAGGAGCAAGTGGTATTTGTAGCTTTTCATGGGTAAGAGCTATTTCTTCTAGGAAGAGATATTCGTAGGAGAGAGTAGCTATCAATATCAATTTTTATGCTTGTCCTGGGACAGGAATCACTTCATTAGGAGGAGGGTGACGATCGAGATCTTCAAATCCATGTTTAAGTAGGAGGTACTTACACGAGCGGGAGGGTTGGGGTTCAGTCTGCTCTTGTTGGTGATCAATTAGTCGTAGCTTCAATGTAAAAACATACTTCAAGTAGATGTAGATTCCTGTGAAAGATCATCGTCATCATGTCACACGCGGTCCCAACTCCTGGTAATCCCACCCACCTTGTAATGGCGTACTGGGGATGAACTCGACTACTGCACTTGTTCCAAGTATTAACTCCACTGCTGAGGGAATCCTCGTCGACCTTAATGCAGTCGAGAACTCAAAAAAATCAACCACAACAACAAAAGTTGCGTATCCTTCTCCCGTTTCTATTGTTCTCCATCCTCATCATCACTGAGATTCAGAAGACTCATCATCCGCAAAGCCAGGTCTTCGGCTTTTTTTCTACGATCTTCATCAGACAAGCCCTTCGCACTGTCATGTGCTTGACGCATTTGATGCATTAGCTTATCCAAATTCTCAAGCTGCATTTCGTCTTCATCTACTTCGGAATTGCCTCTACCTCCTTCAGCATCAGTTGACGGGGTTCCCTCCTCGAGAAGTGTTTTTTGCTGTCGTTTTTCGTCTGAGTCTTCAGGATGTTGCTTTGAAGATATCGTGCTCGCCTTGTTTGGTGCATGTGCATCTACGACCTTGTCTTCTAGCAATGTCCTTCTCACAGCCACAGTTGCCGTCTCTTCGCAACCCTTATGGACGCCAAATGTAGGTGAAGGAGATCTAGAAACTTGCGAACCAGATAACTTCACATCCGCCCCTTTATTTCTTTCTGCTTCTCTCTCCAAGTCTGAGTGTGAGTCCTGTAAGGACTCCTCAGATGTACTAGTTGATGGTGGAGTATAACGACTTCTAGTACTTGGAGGTAATTCTTCCCGTTCTCCATTGCAACTCCTATTGTTCCGGTCGATCATCTCCATGTGAGGCCACATGTGGCATTCGAATGAGTCCCTAATTTCCGCTATCCCACTGAATCGCCGTTCTTGCTCGTCTTCATCCAACAACGAAGATGAAGTAGAAGATGTATTAAGAAGTACACCGCCACAATCTAAACCTACACCGCGAGATGTATTAAGTGCACCACAATCATCTACACCTTCTTCACCTGCTTCACTTTCCAACAGTCTGCACCGTTGAAAACCGTGATCCAGGCACACGTCAAAATGCTCCAACCTAGTGTCTTCTCGTTCTTCAAGAAGTCCAACAGGAATGGGCTCGTCTATAATTCCCTCATTGTCGAAAACGCAGCAAACCGCAAGTTGTAACCTACTCGATGAGCATGAGTCCATTTGCTCGAGGAGATGGATATCATCTTCCTTTTGCTTTTCAGTGGACAAGGACAAGAAAAGTCTCTGCAATCCGGGTATTGTGCGATAAAAGAGCACAACGGCAGCAGCTGAAGATGCGTCTGAATCTGGTTCTGGAATGGTCGTACTAATCAAACTACTAGAAGAGCTAGATGATGCAGCCGATGTGTCTGGAATTTTTGTAGTACAACTACTTCCACTCGACGTTGTTGTTGAGCTACTTCTAGTAGATGACGCTGGTGGAGGATCTTCTTTCAATATCTTGTTCTCCGCCACCTCTCCTGTGTCGACGTCATGAAAGACAAACTCCAGCTCAGCTTCGTAATACTTGGTTGTCAGCTTTGGACCTAAAAAAGCTCTTTTTATCAGACGTCTTGCAAGCTCCACGCAATTTCCGTCCTCCGCGAAGACCGAAACCACATTAGTGGCGGCCGTTGTGTCCAGTTTCTCAGTCATCGTCTTTGATGCTATGTATCAAATACAATAACCGGCATGTTTCATTAAAACGGAGTAAACTACACCACGTCCTGCTGTAGAATAAGGCTATCTGAATTGCTGTAGAATAAGACTATCGTCTTTGATGCTAATATGTATCAAATATTACAATATTAACCGGCAAACCCTCAACTACTACATACAAATTTCTCAAATTAATCAGGGAGCGTAGTTCCTGTTTCTACTCGATTAGGTTAATGCATAGGCTAGGCGTGGCTCTACTAGGTAAACCAGCAGACTTCGCAGACCTCGATTTAACACTCTGTCCTCACCTCTAACTAGTGACTTGAAAAAATATTGAAACAAAGGAAACTACACCACGTCCTGCTGTAGAATAGGGCTATCTGGATTGAACAAGCTCGATCAGGTGTAACAACAGTCACGAACATGATCATTAGGATTTTTTGATGAAAGCATGTTGAACACATCTATGTGTATGTCCCGTCTTGGTTCTTGTCGCGTGTACTTCTTGCACCTCGACCCCATGATCGATGTGTTGTGCAAGAAAAATATTTTCAGTGCGTTCATCGTCTTGGTTTCCATTCATTTCTTGTTCGCCTCCCATGTAAAGATTCGTATTCAATTTCAACAGGGCGCTAATATTAATTTCGTTGCAATGCTTCGCCAAGATGATCACGTTGGTTCATCTCCGTTCAAGAAGTGGAAATTCTGCCAAGAATGGCTCCATGACTCAATTGCTCCAAGATTCAATGGCTCCAAGATTACAATGGTTCACTTTGAATAGGAACTTTTATGAGTCAAAAGTTACAATCAGTACTACATATTTCATTTTCAACCTGTAGTCAAATAAGTACAAAACGAGAAGAAATGCAACGTCCATCAGTGTGTTTGACAATCACAATTACTACAATAACTGAATGTGGTCAACATCTATCTTGTGTGTGTTTCGTGTGTGTTCGACTAAGCACATTGCTTCATCGTTCTTCGTATGCGTATGTGCGTGGTAAACTTGATGTAACGCTTCATCTTTGAGTCTGATGTCTTTCTAGCAACAATGTAACCATTATAACCAACAATATTAGCAAGCCGAAAATCAGAAAAGGATATACCATGGATGGATATGATATTTCTTGGGTTCGATGATTGAGATTAAGACTGTAGTCATTGTCATTGTCATTGCCATTGTCATAGTGGATATGGATTTGCATTTGGTTTTGGATTCTAACAAATAATAGAAAGCTCTCTAGCAGGAGGATGGTGTCAACAGCATGGATAAAAAAACTAAATACACAAGTAGGAAGTCTGTAGAATGAAGTCATCACGCTTCTACTTGTGAAGATTAAGGTCTACTTCACTCTTTGATACAACTCACCGTGAAGATTCTTGGCTATGTTCAATCAACATCCTCACATCCACAACATGGTGAAGATTAGTGAGGTTCAATCATCCTCACATATTTTGCCGCAGGATCGCGCCCGAACAACATGTGTCCCTGCCACCTAAACGCTTCTAGTTGTTCTGTCCCAAAATGGCTTCTGCAACCAGCTGCTCTCATGGTCGCTAGGAGTATGAAGAAGAGATAGGGAGGATAGAAGGGAGAGCAGCGATAGGGAACGGAAGAACGAATAGACGCACGGGAGGATAGTTAGAAGGGACGTTTCATTTTCCCTCATCATAACATGTGGCTTCTTGATATTCCCGGGATTGTAGCTGAGACCCTCACTCAGAGCCCCAGTATGCTTCACCCATGACATCGGTTGGGTGTATGACACAGGCAGCAACTCCTGCTCCATTGCACAAAGGGTCGCGTATCTTTGTTTTGAAGTAGATGTTCTTGTTGTCTTTTGAATTCACAATGAATTAGTTGTTGTTCTATCATGTTGATGTGTTGAATAGCAATAGCAATATTTTGAGCTCCTTCTTGACCACGAAAAGTACCTATTTTCCTCTGCCGTGTACTGTGGCATAGCATCTGCCTTTAGATCACTTCCTGGAGCTAGGCGGACCCATTTTAAGGTATACTTTGGGTCTCGGTGCATCCATTTGGCTGTTCCATAGGGGTTTACCTGGTGAGAAAGAGGGAGCAGGTGTAGAGGACTCAGGATCAAAAAAAACCTCCACTTTTACATACATCCCAGAAGAGGAAGATAAAGTGAATACCTCTCTAAGCTCCTGCGCCCTTTGATTGGCCTTGTAAAAAGGCTTGCCCACTACCGTTTCCGAATAAACACCTGGTTGGTTCGTCATATTAGAGCGACCGCGGTCGCATCCCTGAGAGCATCCTTGGCTCCCTTTTCAAATCGAAAGAGCGCCAGGGATGATGCTGAGGATGCTCCAGCGGTAGCCATAATCATAGTCCCTGGCACTCGTTGTAGCGTTTTCATACTCTTTTTCTTCTCTAGTATCGCAGGATTACTCACTGCCCTCTCTAACTTCGATGCGCCGGCTTTACCTGAGGTAGAAGTAGGGAGGATGGTAGATTTTTGGACGATGAGGACGAGCAGTCTTACCTGACGTAGAGGTAAGCGTAAGGAGGATAGTTTTTTCACGAGATAGAGCTGGGGCGGGAGATTGCTTTTTCATGTTGATGAGCCCACACCCTCACGAGGTCTTAGACCATGACCAATTATAAGTTCATCAATAAAAATGTCTTTGTTGCACGTGCCAGGGCGAAAAAATGAAAATCAAAAACTACACTAGAACAAACATCAACATAGATCTATTACCTAGAGTTTCTACTCTGAGAACTTTTCCGACATAGAAGTACCTAATCTCTGATAGCTTATCTCTTGTCCCTGCTGCCATCTTGTCGAAAACTGGTTACACGCGCCTTTTTTCGGTACGAATCCTAGATATTTCGGGACCCCAGTGACATATTTCGGCTGCTCTATCATTGTTAGAAGAAGTTGAGGGTGTATCTGTGGAAACATGGGGTAGAGAGTTCGGCTTGAATATAGAGCTTCTTTATCTGTTCTTGAGAGTAGGGGAAGGAGTACAGTTTCTTTACCTCTCGAGTCTAGAGGAATCATGGAGCGAGGATATTTTGTTTATCATTCGAGGCTGAGAATAGAATTTCACTATGTACTATTGAAGACTGGAATAAGATGACGAGTGGAGAACGAGAAGAGTGTAAAGCTTGCTGGAGTTGTTTTGTTTGTTGGATAATGAAAATCAGCTACCCTTAACCTTGGTAAGTGGCCCACTTGCCTGTGCGGTAATGGATGCAGCTTCCCGACCTGAGATTGGTGTGCAGGTTATTTAGCGACCAAACGCAAACGGTACTACATATCGCAATAAATCGTTCGGATACATTTTCGGCTTAACATCTCGAAAGTCTCTATCTCCTAGTGCTACATACTCTATTTAAATACTATTAAAAATCCCCGAACACTCTTCGCCTTTAATGTGAACACTAAAGGACCCCTAAGGCGCCTTTAATGTGAACGCTAAAGGACTCCCCTCCCCTTTAGTGTGAACACTAAAGGACCCTTAAGGCGCCTTTAATGTAAACACCAAAGGACCCCTAGGGCGCCCTTAATGTAAACACTAAAGGACCCCTGAGACGCCTTTAAAGTAAACACCGAAGGCCTTTCATGTGGGCAGCAGATAGCCTTGAGGAAGAGCAAGAACATCAACAGCAGCAAGAACAACAGCAAGAACAACAGCAAGAACAGCAGCAAGAACAACAGCAAGAACAACAGCAAGAACAACAGCAAGAACAACAGCAAGAACAACAGCAAGAACAACAGCAAGAACAACAGCAAGAACAACAGCAAGAACAACAGCAAGGACAACAACGACAGCAGCAGCAGCAGCAAAAACAACAAAGACAGCAAGGACAACAACAACAGCAGCAGCAACAACAACACGAGCAACAACAAGAGCAACAACACGAGCAACGACAGCAACAAAACAACAGCAGCAACAACAACAAAGCAGCAGCAGCAAAGCAAGAGCGACAAAACAGCAGCAACAAAACAGCAGCAGAAAAACATCAGCAACAAACAGCAGCAGAAAAACATCAGCAACAAACAACAACAACAGCAACGACAGCCACGACAGCGACTATTTATATACTACGAAAAACCCCCGAGCACTAACGTGAACACTAGAGGACCCTTAAGATGCCACTAATGTGAATGCTAAAGGACTCCCTTCCCCTTTAATGTGAACACCGGAGGACCCCTAAGGCGCCTGTAATGTAAAAAAACACTAGAGGGCCCCCCGCCTTTCATGTAAACACTAAAGGACCCCGAAGACGCCTTTCAAGTAAACACTGAAGGCCTTGCATGCTGCCACATTTTCAAGGGGAATCGGTGGCAGTACTGCCACCTTCCTCTTGTATTTAAAGCCTGCGCGCCCCCGCTCCCCTTTGCCGCAGCGCGGAGGGGAGTGCGCGCCCTTCGGGCGCCCGTTTCACCTTGTGAAACCATTCACCCCTGCCCACGTCCCTAAAGAATCCCTTTCCCTTCCTTAACGTCTCCCGGGGCACCCGGGCCCGGGGAGTTAGGTAGTAGGATAAAAAATCCTTGATCCCCACACCACGCTCACCAAAAACCAACAGGACAGCGAGAAAAGTACCTGTATATCCGTGACGCCCGTGTGCTCGTGTCCTTCATTGTGAGCATACTTCCGAAATGCTCCGTGGTGTGTTTTGCTTAACCTGTCGTGCGGACCAAAGTATATCGGTGTAGGGACATTAGATGGGTCATAGATTCATCGTGTTGAAGAGCCACAAAACAAGATGGAGGAACAAGATAGTACGAACAATCCATATTCCCCTTGAAGAAAACAAATCCTATCTATCATCAATGTTTTTGATCATCTTCTAGTACATAAATTTTTGACAAGATCGATGTACTAGCTAGATAAAGATGTCTTTACAACAATATAATCCAAATTCCTTAAGGCCATGGTCTGTAACCGGAATCCGCAGATTCCTGCCTTCTCCATTGTATCCGAGAACCTCATATGCACCCGACATTTGCTCCCGACTCCTTTGCTCTTGCCGGCTCAGACGTTGATTGATGTGATTGTCGTAGTTGATGTAATACTTTTGTCCTTTTTGGCTCCGACGTTGAAGATGTCGTGGCTGTAATACTAGTGGTGGTAGTCGATAGTCGTGGAGGTGATACTCATACTCTTGTAGTACTTTTTTTCTATTATTATTTGTTCCCAGGATCTGGATCTGCGTAGTAACGACCTCTTTTAACGTCTTCTGGTGAAGACAGATCCAATCCGTGGAGTTCTCCCTGTTCTAGGAGTTGTCTTCTGAATGATATTTCAGCTCTTTACTAGGCTGCAAGCCGTTCTCGCGAAAAAGCACCTAACAACTACGCGACGAAGAGCCTTGTCGTCTGCAGGAGCGATTGCAGCAGTGTTGTGACACGACGGCCAGAATGATCACTGCAACAGCGAGCAGTAAATCGAATATCACTCAACACAAGTACTGTCCATGCAAAGCTATTCACTCGTCCAACTGCACTAGTAATTATATATAATTACAGCCTCTGCTCCTCCGCATCGTACACCTTCGAATTAATGTCGGACGTTGTTGTGCTTCGTTTCTTCTCCCCCCTTATTCCTCGTCTTCCTCTAGAAGAAGTTTCTTCTTCAACAAGGTGGAAGATTCTCCTCTACGTCGTTCCCATCCTTGACAATATCTACCAAGACCTACCAAAAACCTACATGCAGCTATGACGGCTCTACTTCTCGTTCATCTACTACAACCGTGCTTGTCGTGCATGAAAAATAATATGTACTTATTATGATGATCCTACTCGACGACAGGTAGGCTTATATGGAAGTAGACTTATGCGTCTATCAGCAAGTACTAGTTTTAATTATTCTTCAAGGAAACGAATAGGAACAGGAGCAACTAGACCACGAATAAGACGTGGGAAATATTGATGACATGGAATGGGGCGTACTAAAGGTGGAGTCAGGGCTGTTTACGGGGCCCCCGCTTTGTTCGGGGCTTAGCTTGAGACCGATTCTGGAGAATGACAGAAAATGTTGACATGCTGCTAGGAGGTAGACAGAATAGTAACCGATGGTTTGTTGTTCTTTCTACCTGACGTTCACCGACCACCGACCAGTGAATTGACGAAGACACAGTGAATTGCTGAAGTGTCTGAGATCTAATACTTCTTAGGGAAACCCTATATGATTATCTTCCGTGTTCATGATTACAGAGAACTACTACTGCATGTCGGTACTTTTGTTTAAGTTTATGCTTGCTTCAGTAGGAACGGCTCGAAATAAGTAAAAGGCTATCAGCCATTTTTGACCGATCAACAATCGAACAAGAACGAAGCAGCCCGCTCTCGAGCTCCTCGCTTAGGGAGGAGGTGCGCACGCCGCTATATCCTCGACTGCACGTCGGTTGAGATATTTTTTTATGACAATACTTTTCTCCACTTGAAATCTCTCGAAAATCCAACAGCTTCATAATGTCCAACAACCGTAAAATTATTTGCTCATTTTTGTAGGCCTTCTTTCATCTACGTACAGGATTGTGGCATTAAGATTGACAACAGGAGCTCGAACTCCTAGTTACTTCTGTGATTTTTTAAGTCGTTATATCATAAACTAACTATTCTATCGACTGATTGTTTTCTTTTATGCCAGGTTGCATAAAAATTGTGCTATAGGTGGTCCATACATCTCAATCATGATGATCTCTACTGAGTAGTGCATCACCATCAAGATCAACCACTGTTGCGCAATAAAAAAAAACTTCGTACTTACGTATTCAAATTCAAAGAGTAGGCATAGAAGTACGTATTAAAACGACTCATAACAAACAAGAAAAAGAAATCACTCAAATAATTAGATCCTTGGCTATCTTCGAGCTGCGTGCTTATGAAAAAGATCAACAGTACATACGCTTTTACGCATTTTATTTACGGAAAGAGAGACAACGCTAGCAGCAAAACTAGCGTTGTCCTGAAGCAAGGATTTATTATCTGCTATTCTTGAAAAATATTCTTATAGATACTTCTTAGAACTCACCTAGGAGTCGAGGACAATTTCAGTTATACATTTAACACAACAGATCACAGTCACAGACATATTTATTGTTATTATAATGTTAATGACTCACAAAGAAATGATCTTGAACTTGACATTCCGGTTCTTGCTTAATCTTCACAAGGTACGAATCACTCATAAGGCCATTTGGCTGAGATGCTTCAATATAATCACTAGGATTCTCAACCCGCATAATCATTTCCTCCTATATCGAATCAACCACATCCCAGAACTCGGCTGATTCCGCTTTTTCTTTCTCCAATGTGCTTACGACCGTCACATATGCCGGATCGATCTTCTTCGCTTTGAGAAAAGACTCGGAAACTTCGGATATCACAGCGTCATCCGCCTTGCCTTCTTCCGTAGCAAGTGAACCCTGCCAGATGAAGATCATGTTGTCCGCGAAAAGAAGATGCAGACAATCGGACTCCAAATCGTCTTGATCAAACATGGTCAAAGGCCGCTCCTCCCACTCTGGATACCTAGAGGTGGATTTTTGCTTAAATATTAGGTGTCATCATGTAGTAGTCGTCCTGAGACTGTAAGTGAAAAAGTACAAGAGGATTTCGAGCCAGGTGAATAACAAGAAGCGTTCCACGATTCCATTTTGTTGAAAATCTTCACTGTAGGCTGACCTACAGAGAATCACTATCAGTACCTGTACAACTCAGGTTTCGTTGGCATTTTCGGTACTCCACCACCTTTTTTGCCAGTCTCTACCGGGGTTCGCCCATTCTGAACAAGGGGATGTGATGTTCGTGGCGTTCCCTCTGGCGTCCTTAACCCAGCACCTCCAAATGTTTTGCATAAGAGGTCGTAGTCCATGTCGTAGTCTCCTCTCACATCGAGAAGTCCAGACTTTCCCTTCAATTCGGAGGCAGCGTAGCTTGTGGTTACCTACAATCATGGACCATTTTACCGCACAAAAAGTCAGGCCTGAAGGTATCTATTAAGGTCATTCTCATCAAGCTATCACTATGGTAAGTACTAACTTATAAATATATAACCAAAAAATCAAGCTCAAGGTCAACGTCAAGTTCTTCATCGTCAAGGTCAACAAGACATGTTGCTTTATTAGAAATCTTCAACGTACCGTTCCCGCTAATAGATGCTTCCAGAAAGCCTCAGCAGGATCACTATGCGACGTTTCCATATTCTCGATGCTGGGTCGACGACAGAGATACTTCTCATGCCAAGCTACTGCGTCGTTTATCGTTTGGTTAGAGCTTAGGCTAGTGCAATAGAGCCTTAGCAAAAGTTCTACAGCGTTAAGTCATTTGTTAATAGGGGAGCAAACACTCTAATAACGCAATTCAACTTTTTTATGTGACTTACTTAGACACCTTGTCATCTTTGCATAACTTTAGTGGCTTCCGCGAGTATGTTGCTCTGCGGTCCGTGCCATACTAGAAATTTGTCCTGCGAGTAGCAGACGTAGCTGAACCTGAGATTGTTGTCCTTTAGGAAGACGCCCTTCTTCAACATTTTGCTGTAGTTTAGTGTTCTTCAGCGGCAGCAACTGCTGAATATCTTGAGCATGCAGGACTAGAGTATCAATAGATAACGAACATGAAATTAGAGACCAGGCTACCTGGGATCCACTCTGAGTGTTTGCGCTTGTCTGTGTTCGACCGCATAGAGGACTAAAAACGGGTCCCTCTCGTGATGACACCTAATGCGAAAGAGTCTGGGTTCAGGTACAACCTTGTCTGCCGGGTCAATTTAGAGGATGAGGATGCACGTGCTAGTACTACTTGTGTGTTAAGTTATAGTTGTCTGCTCCCGGTATTTGGTAACCTGAGTTTGATCATATGGGAAAACAAGAAGAGAACCCTCGTCGTGATCAAATTCAGGTTACCAAATACCGGAGCACGTAAATTACGTGCTAGTACTTGTTTTATAACACAACTTGTGTGTTAAGTTATAGTACTAAGGACCCAAGTCAGTATCCCACTTTGAAGGGGACCCAAGCCAGTTATAGTACTAAAGACCCAAGATTAGTCTGTCCAGGACTTATTCTATTTATCACCAAGCCTTAATCACTGCGGTCGCGAGGAATCTTCAGCTCCTTCTGCCACAAAAGCAACTGGAACATGAAACCAGTGTTGGGTCGACATATCTCGCGATACTCCCTCTGAATCTGCGTCAAAATCTCCATCATGGGTCGCCGTGTCAAATACATTAGATAAACCAAGCACAAGGTGCAACTACGGCTTACCCCTTGGCCGCAATGGAAGAGGACCTGGTTAATGGCATGGAAAAAGAAAGATCAGTTTCCCATAAATGAGAAGTACTATGAACGAGTATCAACTAGAGGATAAGTTACTCTACTGATGTGGGACGGGTTCAAGTACACCATCAACAAAACAAAAGCACCAAAAGGCTTCCATCTATAATGTACCTTTGTTTTCGCTCCTCCTTCTTCGTAGGCTTTTGTGACAAAGTCGAGGGTCTTAAAAAATCCAGAACTTATATCCTCAGTCTTCCCATCTTTGAAGTAATACGTCAAGAACTCAAAATGTCGCGAAGGCGTTTTTGCGGCTGTGGATTTTCTTGATGATGGTGCTAATGGGAGGTTCTTTACAGTAGTACTATCGCGATAAAATGAAAATCAAATACAAGATATTCAAAATCATAACAACGAAAATGAGAATTGATTTCAATAAGAACTATTCGAAAAACTGAAATAACCGAGTAACTATTGAAAATAAGGGAGTTACTGAAAGAAGAGGAATGTAGTCAAGCCTCTCTTATTTCAGTCAGTAGCTCGCTTATTTTGAGTTTTCGAATAGAACATACACAACGAAATTCATGAGTACGTGAATCTTCATCGCTATCCTCCAAGTTGTCGCTGACCTCTGCTGCTGCATTGACGATGTGCGTGATTCCCTCCTTTCGCAACAGCACCTTATTCCTCGCCACGTCCGAAGCTGAGATGTACACGAACCGGCCTTTCAGTGCACCGTTTGCGTCGTCGCCCCCTCCCAGATCACAAGGAATCTTAGACAGTAAGGGCCGATACTTGTCCAAGAGCTTCTGATTCTCATCCTCTGGATTGGCCTCTCCTGCGTCTTTCGCTTGTTGTTCTCGTACAATTGGAGGCGGTGGCGAAATCGAAGCAGTAATCGTGCTCTTCCTCGTTGCTGTTGAAGTTCTCTCGAATTGACTGCGGCGGATCTCTACTTTCTCGACGCCAGAAGTAGAAGATGCTGAAGTTCTCTGCTCAATGCTAGCTCTTGATGTCGAAGTCCTCTTTGCGGGTTCGAATTGGCTACGTCGAATTTCAACTGTCTCAATAGGACCCGTTCGACTTGTTTCGCCAGTCACACTAGTCCTAGCAGCTGGTGCTTTACCACTAGGATTAGTACTACTAGTAGAAGTTTCTGGAGGCGGCGGTGTTCCAGGAGGTGTCCCCGGGGGTGTTCCGGATTCTTCAAGAACAGGTGTCGCTGCTACTTCGCCTTCTGCTTCGGTTAGAAATAAGGACACGCAAGTGTGAGCGTCGATTCTAGTCTAATCACAAGTAAGCGTTGAAATTAGTCAACTTGAAAACATCGGGATCCTTAAATTTGGTTCCTTCTTCGATTTTGTCGTTTTGGTCTGTGGCGTCGCTGCACTAGGCTTTTCGGGACTACCTCGTGTTCTGGGAGAAGCAGGCGTAGCTGCTGCACCGAAAGATGCACGACCTGGCGATCATGAGTTTTTACATCCGCCAACGACCTTACTTTTTTAAAATCTTCCATCATAAAAACAAGTGTCTAAGCTATATATACCTCTTCCCTCTCCCTCCACACCTCCATACGACGCCCTCGCAGGTGGTACTATCTGCAGTCTCTCTATCCGTGGTGAGCCCATTTTCGCTATTTTGACGCGTGGCGTTACCCCAGTATACGTTGGACCCGGAAATGCCGGAGGACAAGGAAAACGTAAAGCTTGTCCCGTGCCACTCTCTCCACTAGGACCAACCACAGCTTGAGTCGTTGTCGTTGTTGATGTTTTGTTCTCAGCAGAAGTACCAGATGCTCCTACAGGTACAGTAGTTCTAGTTGTATTATCAGAAACACTACTTCCACTATAGAATGCCGGTCTATCGAACCCTATTCTTGGTGTTATCAATGGGCCTCTTGGTGTGGCGGCTAAGAGAGTTCCAGCTTTATTGGTAAAAGCTGCTGTTGTCCTCGACAGCTGTGGCACTATAGGTGGTTGAAACAGGGCTTTATTTCCAGCCAGGCCAGGGGGTCCCGCACCCGCTAGTGGTGTTGACGCCTGCTCGGTTATATTAGCACCCCCGTCTTCTGCAGGAGTTCCTGGCGAACAAAAATTGCTGTCGCCGGGTCCCTTTGCTGCTGTGTTCGCGTCCGATGGAGGCACACTAGTTGCGGGAGTCCCGTCGCCGGCTATAGAGCTGGAACCGCTTGTTGACGTCCCAGGAGCGACGCCTTGCTGAATCGCGTTCAAGTCTACTCCTGAGATTCTTAGCAGAGATTGTAAACTGTTCCGAAAAAGTCGATTATTGCTGAAGTAGTTGGAGGTGGACGTAGTTCGAATGAGATCCATCGTGTTTGTAACAATCACGACACTTAATATGTTGTACTACTCATTTTTGATCTTGCTGAAGATTGCAGTAAGAAAGTAAAAGTTGCAACTGAAGAAATAGCAATTTAAATGCCAGCATAGAAGTATAGTCCAGTCTTAATTTTCCATCCACCGCTTCGCCTTCGCCTAAAGGTGGTTTTTTCTTCTTGGGGTGTGTCGCTACAACTGGTCCTCCACGTTTGAAGAGGTAATCATACCTTGGTATCTGCTTTGGCATGTCAACTGAAGTCACCAACAATGGCGGTGTCGCCTCCAACCGACTGGCAGGGGAAAACAACTGCTGTTGGTAGTTCTTTGTTGCTGGTGATGTACATGTTGGTGTTGTACCAGTAACACCAACGCCAGTTGTGCCACTTGTTGCGTTATTGGTCGCACTAACACCTGCAGAAGTGTTGTTAGTGCTAGATGAGGCTCCTCCGATTTGGTAGTTCCGCATGATGTATTGTCTCGGAGAAAGCTGATTCATAGTCGCAGCCAAAGATTGCATGCGCGGAATGTTCAGCCTTGGTGTTCCAAAAGAAGCTCCAGCTCCTGCACTGTACAACCGGTTTGCAGCAGCAGTTGACCTTGAGGTTCCAGTGCCTTGTTTGTAAAAGTAACTGGGATTGCTTTTGTCTTGTTGTAGAACAACAGGTTGCTCCACCTTCTTGTTTCCGCCGCCAGTACGTTCTATAACGACAGCTGGGGTAGCGCCAGCTGGGGTCACGTCCACGCCGCCTCCCGGGGTTTGATCTAAGAAACCTGAACTATTATTTTCCGTTTGTTCTCTAGCATCATTCGCTGGCAAGGGTAGTCTCATGCTCATTGGACTAGGAATGTTGATGTTGGCACTAGGCGTCGCACCAGCAGCAGCCGTGAACATACTCTGCGTCTTGCCTGCTTGGCCTTGATTCGTATAAGTCCTTGGTGTACTAGTGCTTCCTCCGACTCCACCTGACAAATAGGAACTGCCAGCTCCACCTCCCAACATTCGTGCCCGTGCCTCCGCTCCCATAAAGGACATTGCCCGAGGAAAAGGGCCCGTAGTTCCGGGTCCTGTTCCACCCATGCTGCTAGCAAGAAGGTTCTTACCGCCTCCATTTGTTGTGGCTGGTTGACCAGATGTCCTTGCTATAGTAGGGTCGTTTGCACCTGTAGTTGTTCCACCTACGGATACAACTGGTTCCATTTTTACGCCCGTCTTTTGGAGATCGCGACTGTACACTTCAGTGCCAAACATCGTCGCACGGATACTTGGAGGCGTGTACGATGCCGCTGTTGTTCCGTTGCTGGTAACTGTTAGAAGCGGTAGAGTTAGAAATAAATTTCATCTCACAACAGGAACCATCCCGGTGATGCGCAGTCCGTGAACGCTCCATCAGGATCCTCACCTGAGAGAGTGCTACAACTAACTTTGTCCTCGTCGTGAATCTCATTCTTATTCATGTTGGTCCCCATTGATATTGATTTATTCATTCTTGAATCCGAAGATAATCAAAAACTACTTACTTTAGAATCTTACTAAAAGCCTTATCAAACTACTTACTTTAGAATCATCTTAGTAAAATCCACCTTATCCTTAAAGATGTTGTACTAGAGGCTTGCTTGTTCGAGGATACCACCACAGGCGGTGGAGCTGGTTCGCTGTAGCTAAGTCCCACCGTTATCCTCTGCTTCATATTCAATAGAAGCGGTCGGATGTTGCTGCGTGATCGCTGCAGTTTTCGGTCAAGCTGGCCAGCCTTTTGCATAGTCTCGGCAGATAGATCGAACTGAGCCTAGTATATATTTTTGGATAGAGGGAGTGGGAGTTGTACTAAATGAAAGCGAAACTTCTGAGCCTAATGTAATGAGTTTTCGTTTAATATCTTATTCAACATCACAAATAATGGAGCTATACACGTACGTGGACAAGAACCATAACCAACTTTTTCATCTTTTTAGATTTAGAAAAACAAAATTAAAATTTCTTTTCGAAGTACATTCGGTCCCTTGACCAAAAACAAGCGTATTGTGACATCGCCAGGCTGGGTCACCATGCTTTTTCGGTTGAGGGCCCAACTCAAATTCGGTTCAGGCGGTCCTCTCTCTTGAGGCCAATAGGCTACCGAATACGTTTGAACGTGATAATTTTGAGGACTCAATTTAGAGGTGCAGGTTGTAGAGATTGTTGATTTAGTGCTCATACATACTGAAGATGAGTGTTTCACTTTCACTATAATCTGCTTCACTAATACGAATACCTCGGCATGTTCTATTGATGTTGACTCAATTACTTACATCAGAAGTGGTTGAGTGGCCTTCTCTTAGATATAGCCTAGATTCATAACAAAGTCAATCTGGTCCACGACCGACGAGTTCTTGTATTCTCGCTCTAAACTCGCAGAAAACGGCGCACCCACTGTGAACTGGAAAAAGTGGAGATGATGATATTAGTGGCTGTTGATGCAGGTGCAGCAGGAAGATACATAGAAAATGATGAGATTTTTGTATGGGCGACGACATGATCAATGAAGACAATGAGGACAAATGGCCATAGATAAGAATCAAACAAGTAAGTAGTTCAAAAAATCGATACATTCATTTATAGCCACCTTCAAAATTAGAATGATTCTAAAACATCCAGGTATTATACCTCCATTATTATGTAGCATTCATCGGGCTGCAGGTGTGGCAGGACGAATTGATCTTTGTCATTCAGGCAGGACACTGCAGACATCGCCTGACCAGCTTTCCTGCCCTTCCAACATCTGTATCCAGCACATTTCTGAGCCTGAGACGACTCTCTTAGAAGATCTTTCCGCAATGGAAATTCATCGTCCTTCAGATTTAGCTGTTAGTTTGCATCGATCCTTGATTCTACATACTTATTCAACTTCAAGGAGAATTATACCTTTGCTCCACTTCAAGTCGTGGACGAATACCTTACAAGGAGGCAGTCCATGTCCAAGATGAATTACATTTACATCTCTAGAAGAAATTACTTAGTTGTACATCTCTAGAAGTCTTTCAGAAAAAATTACTCTAGAAGCCTTAACTCTCCTCCTAGTGTGTCTCCCTTCTCTTTCCCTGTCGCGCCTAGAAGAGACGCCACACTGTCGATTGCGGCGATGTAGTCCTCTAGTGTGGTCCCGCGACCACTCACTTTCTCAAAAGCGCAAGCGTTACCCATTTTTGAGGAGCAAGTTGTACAAACGCCAAGAAATGTAGAATAAAGTACAACAACTAGTGATGCCGTAGCCAGATGAACCCGTCGTGTGCCCTACTAGAAGTATGTATTTTCTTCACTCTAATTCGTTTTTGAATTCATTATTTTCTTGTCTTGTTCGCGTTTTTCATCTGAGTGTCATGACCCTTCTAGTACAACTAGCAATTGCACACTCAGTACCGGTAGTACCGTCACGAACCTTATAGGCGGTGTAGTTTCATCTTTCAGTACGGCAAACTCGCAAGAACACATTCGCACCCAGACGCCACACCCTCCAGCGAGTGGTCTTCGTTTTGTGCTGGGTTAAACACTTTGTCTTTGTGGAATTATTTCAGAAGTATCATCTATATGCTTGTGCACCAGGAGCAGCTGTGCTACGTCCTCTACGATGTGTCCCATCCGTGCGCAAGATCATCATGAGCCCACAAAACCTTGTTCCAAAATTTCTCAACAAAGTAGGTACATGTTGTTATAGTAATATAGACAAAGAAATGTAGAATTATAGGTCAAGGTCCACGTCGTTTTTTTAATATCATGGAGTAGGTGGAGGTATTCTCGTCATCTTCTTGGGGAGGATAAGTAGATCGAGGCATTTCATCTATGCTGGTGTAGAAGGATGATTCCGTTAGGCAGCTTCCGCAGGAGGCGCAGCGGGGGGAGCAGCAGCCGCTGGTGCAGGTTCATCTGAGGTTTATCACAACAGTAACGATCATGGTCAAAGTCCGTATTTCTTTGTTCAAGTAGTTCATCATCGATGTGTTTCAAATTCAAGAATGGAAATAGCACAAAACAAATGTTGACATTTTGTCCACTAAAAAAGCTTTGAACAAGCGAAGAACTGGAGGAACAGTGCTTGAATACAACTCTAGATGTTCACCGATGGATCAGAAGATCTCCACTAAGAAATAAGGTTTGAAAACACAATCAAATCCTAATAAATCCTTAAAGTAGGTCCATTACCTTTCTGTAAATCCTCCAATGCAAACCGGTTTTTCCATGCTCCTTGACAGTAGAGCCACCAGCTTTCTGTCGCTAAGCCTTTAAAGGCTGCCATGTGGTACGCCTGGTGATAGAGGGTGAGAGTGAGAGAAAAGGGCTTGTTGTAAGGTGATAAAAGAGGGCGAATGTTTTGTAACAAAATGAAGTAGGATTATGTTTTGAACCGACGAAGATCAAGTCATGAAGTAGGATTATCTACTTTCCTTCCTCGACTACAACATTTAAATACAGCAACTACAACAACATCGGTCCTAGTTTTTACATCCAAATTCAATGTGTTTGATTTTTCGTCTTCATCCTTAGGAACCATAGGTCTTATATTACCGTGCAGCCGTCTTTATCGGTGACATTCGCGTCGCAACCGCTTTCTATAAGCATTTTTGCTATATCCCATCGTGCCGCTTCTACTGCCTTGAACCTGTGATGGACATGGAATTGCACGACTTTGCCTATTTCTAAAAAAATGAAAATCTAATACGTACTAGTCGTAATAATATTAGTCTCAGTGTCGAGCTGACTGAATAGATTTAAATCATGATAGAACAATCTATAGACTACAGGAATGAAGACGAAGTAGAACCTACTCATTTTTAAGCAAAAGTACAATGGCGTCCTCCCCTGGTCATCTTGCTTTATCTCCGCTTTTCTGTCTATCAATAACTGCACCAGGTCGATGTATCCGTAGAACGCAGCATCGTGGAGTGGCGTTCGACCCATATAGTCCGTACAATTCATTGAGACTCCTTTGTCCAACAGAAATTTCGCAATCGGTTCTCGGTTCATGGATATCGCCTCGTGGAAAGCTGTTCTGTAGTATGGCTTCTCGGAGAGATCTAAGTCGCCACGAGGATTAGAGAGGATGGAAATGGATAGATAGATTTAGATGTCAGAAGAAAAAACTACTACAACTACTTAAGTAGCAAATTCAAATTCCTTTTACTAGATCATGTAGGCGCTGGTACACTGCTCCAGAATCTAACAAAGATCTGTGACTGTCCCACTACTATATTACCGTAGAACCTACCGCTAACGCCATCTAGCAGGAAAATTCACAAAGGTGGCAGCGCCACCTTCTATATTCATCACCCATAACTCTTCGAAGCAATTCCGCGGTGAAGAATTTTACGCCGACCTCGCCTTCCATTATCCCCTTGTGTGCCGCTTGGCACAACTTTCGGTTCTCTTCTTGCGCCATCTTGTTTCTTCTATGTGGGAGCTGGAAGAAGAAGAACAAAAAAGCCTGAAGACGAGGACCTAGTTGCACTGCTTCCCCAACTTACTATCCAGGCGTTCGTGAAGATTATGATTATGAGCCTCAGCAGAGCCTAATTAGGAAATCTACTTGCAGAACTTCTGCAGATGAAGAATTCATATTGCTCGTCTTATTGATCTGGATGAAAAACTTCTGTCCCACCAACTCTAGTAGAACAGCATAGATGAGCACATCACCTAGTACTGCTCAATGAGGGGACCAACATGAAGGCAGAAAGAAGACGGGGGCGATACAACCAGGAAAGACATGGGCGATACAACCAGGAAGACTTGAACCCTGAGAGTGAGGAGGTACCGAAAGATGCAAAACTTCTAGTGCGTCGTAGACAACGACCCTTGGGACACGCTAAACAATAACAAATCACGACCGAAAAGAGCACTCATCACAGCCAATGCAACACATGAACATAGCAGGGTCTCTCTTGCACCAACAGAGGAGTACTAGCTCTTGCGCCAATCAGACCGACTTGAAGATGAAGGATAACTGCGTTTAGATCTTTCACAACGAACACATCACGATCACGCTACGACTCCCATGCTGTATTAAGACTCCTCTAGCATGTGTTCTCGTCTCCTCTAGGCAGATGTCCCATGCCTGAAGTCTCTCAACACTCAGAAACAGAGGAATTCAAAACTCAAATCTTCAGAGAACATCAACGCTTGCTTCGAGCACATGGATACCAGCATAGCATGGAGGCAAGACTCTACCCAAGGAGTGATAAGGGTTACCACAAGTGTAACTACAGTGAAGGGTTAATATGGTGGGGGAGGTAAAGCATGAAAAACACAGAAAAAAAGTTGTGTCTCATCATAAAATATGATGAGGAGGATGAAGCGCCAGGACCTTCAAAGGGTATTAATACGGCAATAGACATGAGTATGTTAGATCTTCGTAATTCTTGATCTTCGTCTTGCGTGCCTACATGATATAAGGTATGTTGATGACCACTTAAAGTCACGAGACTGTTGAGCTGCAGATTAGTAAGCTGTTTTCAGTACTTCCGTCTGGTTCTGGTGCTCGTGCAGCTCCTACTAGGAAAACATAAGAAATTGTTGTATGACCACCACTTCAAGTTCAAAAACTGATAGATTATAACCGCCCGCTTGTACTTAAAAGGACGAACGTTGATTTTCATAACGCATATTCCAGCACTCTATTTCTCTATTTCTTCATCGAAAAAATATACAGGAGGCACAACACGATTTACTACTTACAGAAGAGAACGCTCACAATTACCATTCTTGCATAAAGAAGTATCGAACTCTGTTGATCAAACTACGACACGTCAGCCTCAACCAACATTCCAAAAATCCATGATATACGGGAAAGAACTTAGTTGACGTTGATGCGATTGCGATAACCGGTTAATCATAAGTTGCGTCAGCGTCTTCTCCTTTAATAGGATCTAATATCCTCGATCTTCCACTCCAGGATTCTTCTACGCCTGTTCTTCTATAAGTACACTTTCTATCCCCGAGAAACACCAGGTGGTATATTCTCCTGGTCTCCCGCAAAAAACAAGTCTTCTATTTCTTTACTGCACACTTTTTTTCCCGGCTTCGCTTCATCCTGTTCTTCCTTTTTCGTCGTAGAATTCCTCTTAGCAGTGGTGGTGGTAACATTAGAAGAAGTCCACAAAACGTGGTTGCACCCACATGAGAAACAGAAAGAAACTTCCCTGAATATCCTGATCCTGAGGACGTGGTCGTGGGTCATATTGGAAAATCCCTGAGAATATTAATCAATCCCGTAGTTGTCACGCAGAATCAACAACATGTTGACGATGTTGAGCCAACACTCCTACATTATCGAAAGTCTAAGGCCTTAAGAGCTGCAGTGGCGCTATCGACAAGAACATCTTTAGACGAAAGCTGTTGCTCGACTCCTTGTTGCTGAGCTCCTGCTTCTTTTGTTGAAGTTCCTTGTTGATGCAGCTGGATGTTTCCTTGATGTTGGTGCAGCTCACGAAGTCCTTGTTGCTCACCTTGAGAACCTTGCTGCAAACCACCTTGAGCACCTTGTAGTTGCAAAACACCTTGACCACCTTGATGTTGCAAGACTGGCGAGGATTGTTTTTTCACGTCGCGCAATTGTGTTCCTGGTTCTTCCATTTTCATCGCCGGAGAAGATCTTGTGGTCGTACGTTGTAGTTGTCCCTCAGGAGGACCTGAGTTGTCAGAAACGGAACGGGAAGGAGGACCGGAACGAGAAGGAGGACCAAGAGGACCAAACAGGCCTAGACCATCTCGTTGGCCCTGCTGATCATCAACGACCATACGATTCAGATCGCTGTCGTTCAAACGCGGCTGATGGTCTGTAGCTCCAGCGCCAGTTCTTGCTTGAGGTTGGGCTCCTTGCTGCTGCTCAGCAACGCTTCGAAAATGATTAAGATTAGATGCGTTATTATATTGTTCTGCATTGAACAAGATACCGGAGCGAGGCACGACTCCATCCTGTTGATGTTCGCTTCGACTGGGGGGCAGACGTCTCTCCAAGACATCTTCTTCATGCGAAGTGAGAGCTCCACGACCTCCACCTCCATCCTCATGACCAAGACGATCACTCGGCCGAAACTCAAGACCATCATTAGAGCTCAGACTCGTCACAATTCTATCTTCTAATGAAAAAAATCCAAATTGTTCATTTTCTTAGTTCGTCATAATAGAAAGAGACACAGTAGAAGAAGAGGACACTTCCACCCACAGTGGCGAGATTTACCAAACAAGAGGTAACCTCCCAGGGAGAGAGGATGATGAGATACCCAGCCCACGTGGATCGGGTCGCATATATTTTACTGCAGTTCTGATCTTGGAATCGTTCTATTTATCGATGATTCACCATCACGACGTAATTAAGTAAACGATCTATAACTCATAACTAAACGATCTTTATACTACGTAATAGAAAGAGAAACAGTAGAAGAAAAGGACTCGCCCATGATTTCTTCTTGAGAGCCTTAAGTACATCCGAAGAAGCTTGATTCATCTCCTGTTGCAGATGACGTCCTCCAGAAGATCCTAGTTGAAAGTCCTTGTTTAAGAACAAGGGTTGGCCAGGATTATCGCGACGGGGTCTAGCATCTTGTTCCCATCCTGGAGAGCTCTGGTTTCCAGGTGGGGGCAAACGAGGCTTGATATTCCGAAACGGTCCAGCACGAGAACGAGACGAATGCTCACCATCGCGATCACCTAGTAGAGTTAGAGGTAAATAGGAAATCCATCTCAGGAATCATCTGGCTCGGTTTTTCTTCTTGTTTTCTCCTTGTTCCAGATGACTTTGGAGCTGGATTTCCCACACCGTTAATAAAGGCGGTAGCTCCTCGCGGCCAAAGGTGGTTCTTAGATCATGGAGCAGATCAACAAACTGTCTCAGACAGTCTACTTATGTGACGTCTATGGAGTCGTCTATCATATTATGGCAACTATAATTCTTGAAGAAATCGTTCACGACTTCAATCTTGTTCTACTGTTGCAATCTACGTTTTGTGTCCTTAAAAACTCATGATCTTCTGCCTCTCTGTTATCTCCTGTCCTTAAAAACTCGTGGTCTGCCTTTCTATTACCTCCAAGGATCAGTGACCTGTCACCTCCGTCTCGGAGGTCACGTTCCGTATAGAAATGGCCGGCGACCGGCATGCCTCGTCTGTATTTTTCGACTCGAATTCGAATATTAGAATATTTCCTATGGTCACTAGAAGATCCTTCGAGCATATGCGTTGGCGTCGTCGTATTTTCTTTGTATCTATTTGGATAAAAAATGTACTACTGATGAGGAAAGCCTGTAGAGATGGACCATTCCAGGTGGCCTTAAGATGACAAACTCTCTGCAGCGCTTCTTCCATCCGACGTCTTTCGTTGTCAATGTTAGCGGGCGCTAGTTTCATTTCGCCATCTGTTCCTGGTTCAGTGGATTCCCCTTTTTCCCCCTTGGCTTCTTTCCCCATTCAGAAGTCAAAGGATGGGATTCCACTCAGCATAGCTTGTCATGTCATGTCATGGAACCTCTCGTGTTTCAAAGTAACTTATTGAAAGAGAAGTTGTTTCAGTCTGCCTGTACCTTCTAAGAAGAGCAAGCAAACCGAGCGATATACTATCAAGTATCACCAAAAAGCAGCCACGGATCATGCCCGCTGCCGGGAGTGGACTAGTGACATCAAACTAGCCTTAACAATGAGGCCAACAGCTTCCAACAAATTGCATCTCTTGTCCATACTTTCCTCCAGATCCCGCAATATGATAGCCTCCTCGTCCAGCGCTTCTGCAAGAGCGTTGTCGTCGGTATATTGATCATCATGAGTTTTTAGAAATGGTGCTAGATGTTGAAGGAAGAAGATAGTCTGAATAGGTTTAGGTAGAAGATAATTATCTGCTCTTGTCGTCTGAATAGTTAGAAGTGTTAGATGCTGAAGAAGAAAAAGTAAAAGACGCGTCTTGTTGTGTCGTAAGATTTGAAGCAGACAAAGCAGGTGAATTATCAAGACGTGTTCTTGCTCCTTTAGACGTACAACCACGCAATACTTGACTCAATACTTGTTGTATGATCATGTTGTTGACTAGAAATATGATAACACGCGCTGTGAAAGAAATGTTGAACAACGACAAGGAAAACGACAAGGATCTGCATACTTATCACCAATTCAAGCATAAAACGCTGACTGATAGTCGCCACGGTATCATGTTGTCTTAGACTTAGATAACCACACTCAACATAAGTAAGTGATCTAGTACTTCTCATGGAAGATTACGATTATGATCTTCAGACAAGACGGCTCCATCTTGCATAACAAACTCAGACCCTGTTCTCCTGTGCGTCCTCTTGCTGGATTCGATGCGTGGTCAATATGATCACATTCATGGTCACGGTTGATAGGGGGCCTTCGCTCAATCGGAGACGATGGGCTGCGCACTCTCACACATGTATTAGAAGAAAAGGCTAGTACCTCCAATTAAAAAGCCAAGAATATATTTGTGGTGGAGCCGACCTAGCTATATAATGAGGTGGACCGTCGAAGACCAATAAAGGACGTAACATCTTCTCAAAACGAAATTAAGCCAATATACAATGAATGTAGTTGATGCTCATTCTTGAGTCTTCTTGACGTTGCATTAAGTACAAAAATGATGCGCCCACGGTCCCATTTGGTACTAACTAGCCGTAAGATTGGGACTTCCTTGGTGCGACGAGCCTCCATTCAGCAGTGACAAAATAGGATCGCGAACGTGATTTCGATGATCGCGGAGATCACGGAGATCAAGTATATCTATTTGTCTCGTACCAGCACCACCAGAACCACCACCGCCGTTTCGACTGCCATTGTGGTGTCCTCCACCTCCGCCAGCTGCACTGTAGCTCTCAGCAGCATTGTTGATAATGGTGGAACCCGGAGCAGGAAAGACACTACTTCCTTGGCCGTAGGTGAGTGACAGTCCTGGGGTTCCGCTCGCGATACGTGGGCCAGGATTGTGTCTGTAGTCTTGTTCCAGATTTCTGCTAGGTGGAGGACTTCGAGAACGAATGCGCTCACTCCTCCCGAAAGCGTGCGCATTGGTCGCGTTCCTGCCCCCACAATTAGACGAGCTACAAGAGCTGCTGGCTCGCGATAATTCGTTTTCATCTGGGTAGACCTTCGCGATCGTCCCACGTGGAGGATCGGTCCTAGAAAAAACCAAACCCAAGACAGAGACGTAACAAAAACCAACTATTTTCCACCTGTGAGACTGAGACGAAAGGGAGGGAATCATCGCGATGAGCCTTAATACTATCATCCCGCAACCTGGGAGGTGCAGCTGCAGCGCCTCCGTTGAGACAAGAGGCTATCCCCTCGAGGCCACCTCCTCGCGCAGAGCCCAGGGCCCCCTTTTGCAACAGCAGGGCGTCGAGTTCCGCGTCAACATTCTTAGAGTCATGGCTTTCCTCCAAGAACATAAAATCCGGCCGCGATCTACAAAAGATGAGATCCTATCCAATTTTCCGGCGCCAAGGCGAGCACTTCTTTGATCATATTGTATTAAGTTGAGCCAAGAAATCACTGACAATCTACCAAGGTAGACAACGCACTTTTTTCTTCAATTTACGTATTCGAAAAACTGAGATATGCGAGTAACTACTTAGTACAATAAGGGAGATACTAAAAGAAGAGGAATGTAGTCAATGCTCTTGTATTTCAGTCAGTAATTCGCTTATTTTGAGTGCTCGATTAGTCTAGTATTGTCTTATGATCCACATAGTCTAGTATTTTCTTAAGATCTGCGTCGACGTCCGCGACAGGTGCTGCGCGACTAGGACCCGACCACGGAGATACTGGATTACTGATGTAATTTGTTTCTTGCTCCACATCACCTGCAATCGAAAGAGTGTGGGATGGCAAGTTCAGCGTCAGTTTTTCTTCTCCACTCTGTTGCGGCGCACCACATTGGCCATTCCCTGAGGAGCCTGCTCCAGCTTTATTAGATTTAGATGCTATTTAGATGCTAGTAAAGATGAAAGGACTGCGAGACGGTGATTAGTATGAAAATTAGAACTACCAATAAATGAGTGATAAAGACTGATGAAAACGTTTTTATTATACGTATAAATAAAGAATGTAACTGACGAGTAATGTCTTCAACTACACGCTAGAGGCGCGGCTTTCGGACATAAGTGCAGGCAGTTGGTCTGCATTCGGTGATCCCTTTCTACGATCTGCTATGTTAGCGTCCAGTTGTTTCCAATACGCTGCCTTTTCTTCAGCTTGTCTGTATTTCTTAGAGCTTGCATTTTCTAGAAGGTATTTTTACAAAAGAAAAGCGAAGATATCGCACAAGGATGAAAGTCCTTGTAGCTTCACTGATCATCATCTCTTTCTTTCAGGAGCATTGTTTTTCTGACTCAATCATCTTTCAATCAACGTTCGTGCCATCTTTACGAGAAACTGCCTCAACTTTCAAAGCTTTTTCCTCGGCTTTAGTCAGGGGCCTGATTCCAATAGCTTGTAATCCCTTCCGAGCATCCCTGGAACACCTGCTATCCGCTGGGGCAAGGATATTCGCCATGACCTGAGGCGGTGTCGGAAGTGGCATCGTTGAAGAAGATGCGCACGTAGTAGCAGTGCCTACCGGTTACTTCTTGGCACTTCCTTGGCAAATGCTTTCGCAGTAGTTCGTCGTAACGCAATCCAAGAATTCCAGAAGTTGCACTATCGTTCTTGTTAATAGAGCGATTGACTTTCTACTTCGACTGAGAAGAACACTACAACTTCACCACAAGAACTAGGTAACAAAGTCTAAGTCAAAGTAATAAGAGGACGACAATAAACTACAATCTGTATCTTGTACCAGCTGTCCAGGTATCATGACCCTTTCTGGATCGCCCTGTACGTTGCTGCCATGGTAAAAGATTTCTTTATTTTTGTTCACTCCCGCTTTCATCCGGATGAAACCGAAATAACCATTCTTAGTAAACGAAGTGACCTCCGCTTCCACATCATTCTCGCTTTTTTCGGATATTAGACGAGGAAGCGACTGAAGAGGTTTGGAGGAACTTGGAGTGAGATTTGGAGGTGGCTCACAGAATGCAATAAAATCACAAATATTGTAGAGGAGATGCTACCGACGCAACTGCTACGGTACTGCCAAGCATTGCCACAACGAACAAAAACGTCTCAAAGCAAAAGTAAGACGCATAAGCTTAAGATTTGTCGATCCCATAAAATTGGTCGTCTTTCTTTGGCTTCGCGTTCTCGAGCCTCCCTTTCACGTTCTCGCTGCAGCTCCCTGTCACGTGGTCGCGACCGCGATCGAGAACGGCCGCGCTTAGGCCTTGGAGACCGTGAGCGAGATCGTTTAGCGTCACGCGGTCGAGGCGAACGGGACCGGGAGCGACCTCCTTTACGCAAAGGCGAGCGGGATCGTGAACGACCCATGATTGCGAAATGCAAAGTGGTAAACGTGGATGTCGAAAGGTGACTGCAAGAAGAACAACGGCAGGCGTCGTTGTACACAGAGAACGAGTACGAAGAGGACGGGTATTCTTTTGTTCTTTGAAATTCCTGAAAATGTTGTTGGTAACAAATGTTCAAAGACGAGACGAAGATCAAGATGACTAACAATTCAATCAAGAATACACGGTAACCAGTTGTATGAAGAGCGATAAATATGTTGACTGAGTATGACCTTCCGCGACTTCTCCTGAGGCTGAAGAAAGCCTACACTCCTACAGCAACAGGAGGCACAATAGTGCGAGTGTCACGATGTACATACAAAGTGGCGTCGTATAATGTAAAAGAATAATCGAAAGTCCCCAAATCCTGTCACTGAGACTGAACCTTCCCACATCAGAGAAGAAGATAGATCTTGTTCATGTTTTCACAGTTGTACACCACGTTGTGAAAGACTGTCACGATCGCATTCAAAGATTACAGTGGGAAGAACGATCTGATGTGAACATCTTTGGACAACTTTGCATCAGCATCATCATCGACAACACAGAATTTCTCTCAGTATGCCAATAGAGCATGAGTAGACGTCACCGGGTAGACGCTCAGGACTCACATAATAAACATGATCATGCCCCCTCCAGGAAAAATGGTCTGAGGGTACTTACATTATAGAGAGCAATTACTTACATCCAGGCGCCATGCATGGCCTGCGAATGGGGACAGATTTAGGTGCGCAGAAGCAAATTATCAACATCCGCCGGTATGATGATCCTTAAAACCAACATTTTTGCATCATCTTCAGGGTCTGTAAATGCGTGACTCTCGTAGTTCAGATGAAATTCGATCGCCAACAACCTTCGATTTCGAACAATGAAGCACCGTAAACACATGAGCATGTTGTAGAGAGCAATGCTTACTTCAGCCGAAAGTTCGTCAGCTCATCATCCACACTTTCGTCCATTCCCAACATCCCCAACAATGAATTAGATATCCTCATCACCTGGTGCCACATCCTCGTCGCGTTGGCCATCCGCCTGTAGCAACGGAGTCGTCATAAAGCTGACATAACCGTTCTTTTTGGAATCGCCAAAGATTAGAAAGAATAAATTGAAGATGAGTTCTTGTCCTGATGGAGTGTCTACCAAGAAGACGCTGTACGATTATAATTCTATACTGACCTACTTGTATGTGTATCGCATTATTGACTTGAAACCGCCCCGTAAAATCAGATATCGGATGATAATCGGTTGATTCGGCGCGAAGTAGAGCTCAGCAATCACGGCTTGGTTCGCGCAATTGGTAAAAATCTGTATTAGACCTCGTCTAAATCCATCTTCCTGAGCATCTTTTTTTTTTGGACTGGCCGTTTTCTCTTCAAGACGCGGCCACCAAGATGCTCAGAAAGATGGGTAAAGGCTGACCTTAACTGTAGGAACTTCAGCGGAAACCGTTGATCAAAACTTTTTTTGACGCCGTTGAGGTCTACCCAAGAATTCCTCGCGATATTCGTCTCGTCTGTTCTATGACCAACAGAAGTCGCGAGAGAGAAACCTTTAGTTCGTGTGTGCTGCTAGGAAGAAGAACAAGATTGATATTTTTCTAGATCATTTAATACTTATTCGATGAAGATTTTTGATTTTGTCTCACCGCAGATATAACAACAGATCAGTTAGGAGCGCGAGCGATGGCGATCATGTAAATGTTACCTTAACTAAGTACATAAAAGTAACGTCTGTCAAGAAATAAAAAGGGACAAGGATAATACCTGTCTCTGCGTTCTCTACGGTGCAACGAAAATGCTCCGCGTCTAGCTGAAAGCGGATATTGGCTCCAATTCCCTGCATCCCTTGAATTATCTGAAAAAACAAGTAGACTTTTTGATGAAGATCAAGATTATCTGAGCTACTGCATGTAGTTGTGTTTCTCATCGACTTGCTCGGACGATGTCGATGCCGATGCGAAGCCTTGAATATAAAAATGAACAACATACGACACGAAAAGCAATGCCAACTTCAAAGCCAAGATTTTTCCAATAAGGAGCATACTTTTGAGCTTCGTCAATTATGTTTTCCTGAGTCGTGACCCTAAATTCATCATGTGCAGCTAAAAAGTAGAGTCGTATTAAGAAAATACATGGCAGAAGGTCCTCGATGATATCGTCGCTCGATTGTCATAGTACTCCTCTGGTACGCAGTCTATTCTGCTTTTGTCCTCATCCGTAATCTTCATCAAAGGCAGCTTCGCATGAAATTCCTGTTAAGAGAATGGAATTCCTGTGAAAACGGTGTATAGTGGTGGTGAGAGTTGTGAGTACTGGTATCAAGTAGATGAAGTACTATATGTCCAGCATCATAAAAGATGTATGGAAACAAATTGACAACTTTTCTAGGAAGGGAACTTAGAGGATGAACCTCATTCCTGGCAACTTTGGAGTTGACGTATGTTATTCCAAGAAAGGTTGGGTTGTCGTTGCTGAATATCTCCACTACGCCTGTTCTTTCCGCGCCTGCCAGCATTTTCTGCAGATTCCTTACATCAAGCTTCCAGCTGATCCTGTAAATTGTTCACGCGTTCATCGAGTACAGTTCTCCAGCGTAAGTAAGTCCTTTACTGGGCTATCTACTCTTATCTCCAAAGGTCTTAGGATCTTCGTCTTGCATGTTTCTCGCTAAAAAAAAGTCAGAAGTACAATTAGCAGTAGCACATAGATAATGCAGCTAGAAGAACATTCCCACTCATTCGACATTACAAAGAAATGTCATAGTACTTGAATAACGACCTCCACTAGAAGTACGAAGTATAGTACATTTGTTTATGAGTCTTGAAGAATTCGAAGAGCGGAAAAGAGTCGTACTGCAATTTCCAGTTACACAGCGCCACCAACGAATCGTCCTGCGCATGTCCATACATACCTTCGTCTTCTTTTACTGTGATAGTTAGAAGAAGACGCGGGTACTATGTGACTGTGAGAGGCCCACAAGTAAATGGGACATCAAGCTGTGGGTGTATCTATTATAATTTTTCAGATCGTTCTTCTCCTCCGCTGTAGCTCACTGCTCACAGACACAGTGTCGGTTAAGGTTAAATAATTTACATCTAATTCTGCCTTAAAATAACCACCGTATTTGACAAGCCCTCGAGGCCCTTGAGAACCATGAGCATGTGCTCCACCTGCACTCCGCATACGAATGGCATCTTCTAGTATTTGTAGAAGTCCTAGTGGTCGGTCTCGGTTGCGCCGGATTAAAAGACGTTGATGTCCGTGCGGTCACACTTTTTGTTACTTAGAGGTAGGTTTTTGGTGCTCGCTTACCCCGCTTGTTATGCCTTTCTCCCTTAGGAGAGGCATAAAAAGCGGTAAGAAAAGCACCTTTAGCCTACCCTTAAGTTACAACTGGTCGTTGTCGTATAATTCGCCTCAACACAGTTGTTGTAGTTAGTGAAGGGCTCGTCTAGAAGGTGTCCGGTCGTCGAATGCAAACATACAAGTCCTTGTAGTTTCGGACTTGACGGCTCCTTCTACTTACGCCTGCTTCTTTACGAGGTGTCTTATTGGCATCTGTACTATGGGGTTGCTTCGTCGACGATCACCGTCAAGCTCAAGGTAGCAAGTCCTTCATCGACGTGATTCACATCATGTTGGTTTGCAGGCTAATTCTTATATTGTCTTCTATCTCATCGCGCATACACGAGCGAAAGATGTAATTCAAAACGTTGTTGGCTTCAAGAATCCAGTATCACCCCGATCGATATCACGACATAGGAAAAAACAATGAGATTCTTCTTCGTAGTTCTTTTAACAGAAATACTAAATCCTTAACGGAAAGTCAAAGTTGTCGTTCTATTTATCGTTTATTTCGTTACCGTCCTAAATTTTAGAAAACCATAGGCATTTAGTGGGATCTTCATCTTTTGCCGTTTTTCATAAGCTTAAGTAGATCCAGAAAATACTTAGGCCACCACCAGTTGGGAACCATCTTTCACGAATTTCTAAGAGGAACCACAACCACATCCGACTTTTTCAACAGCTACTTTTCTAGTTTATCATGAGGGATAGTTACAGTTCTGCTGCCCGTGTGTGGGCCCAATCATTCCCCACTTGCACAAGCTCGCTGTAACGCTTGCTTGTTGGGGTGTTGAGCTAGAATAGCGAACACATATTTTTCATCTTTCGATTTTGAAAAGCAGCTGGGTGTCTGGCGCGCGGTCTCGGTTGTAAAAACATCACTTACATAAAGGAGCTGGCCAATTAAACTGTGCAAAAATTTTGAATGTCGAGAGAAATCTCTAGGTGAAGACCTTACGTGCATCAGAATCTGAATAGGAGTGGTGCCGTACAACTAGTCGTTCTTTATCTTTCCAAACAAAACTCTGGTTCTTATGCGTTTTTCTGTTCATCACATAGTCTTGTGCTTCTTTATGTTTCAATCCTCTGTATACGTACTCTTCAAACCGGACTCATGATCGTCCGCGTCATCGTTCCGTCACTATTTTCGGATACTTGCGTCACAAAATTCACGTCAAGCAAAACTGAATCGTTCTGCATTAACGAGAAAACTAGCAGGCCGTCCTGCGATAATTTCGATGATGAGGATGAAGATTCAACCCGGAGAATCAATCACAATCACTGCTGGTATCTATAAGCCTGAGATCATTGACGAAAAACATGATGAGAGATGATGCTATTCTTGATTTAAAAAAAAAGTACGTATTTCAGCACGTCTTTCGCTAATTTCGGTGGCATCTCCAAATTTTCCACACCCCACCTAACTTCATTCGCACTACTCGAAGACGCCGCAGCTGGATAATCCCGTGTCTCCGTCTCTCCAAAATCCACTATCTTTTGTTTTTTCAACGTATCCACTGTAAACCGTATCCTCCATCTTGCTTCCGGAATGGCAGTTTCATGGGAAAATCTGAGCATAATCTGCAGAGGGGCTGCGAGATCGCAGTTGTTCGGTTCAATGTCGACGCTGACAACATCGACTTCAGGAGCAACGCTGGTTGGCGGTTGTTCCTCGCCTGCTCCGGAAAGAGCCATTTTCTTCTTTGATTGTGCGCTGGTTGTACACGGAGGTGGAAGGATAAGGATTTTCCTTCTTGGTGTAATAGGAGGATCATTCAATTTCTACTCGTCGTTTCTTCGAAAACCCTTGATGATACATTAAGTATTGAATTTCTAGTCTGTTATTGGTGATTTCCGTGCTGACCTTTTCAATTTCATGGACATCAAAAACGCCCAATAGCTTTCTCAGCACTTGATACGTACTTATCCGGGGAAGACTAGAATCGCAATGCTAGCAATCTACTCTGACAGTCAAGAATTCCCGAACAAATACTCGCCGCACCAAAAAACAAGGCGTGGCCTCGCCCACCGCGTGGCCTCGGCCACCTGAATCAACTGTAGGTATCAGAAGAATACCACTTTTCATGCATTGAACGTATTCTCTCATAAACAGTTGGAAAAAAGTTGCCACTCCAAGGCACACAGTCTTGCTCTTCTTGCTCTTCTTCGTTACTAAAAGATTCTTGAGCCTGATGTGAACCACTTTCAGAAGTAGAATCTTCTTCTTCAGGAGAAGGACCACTAGTCAGATTTCTGCCCATCGTCCACCGTTCTATTTGCGCTCTACATGCTTCTCTTCCCCACAAGTAGGGTCCCATGTGCAGAACCTTGTCGTTTCTGAGCTCATCCTGATAGTCTAAAAACCGCATCCAATCGGCTTCTTTCCAAGTGATCAGCCTCTTGTTTCCAGGCAGAGCGAAACAACTTCGTTCCTCTCCATCCTCGATAAGCATGGCTTCTAGTGTACGTCCTGGTGCGGCAGGACAAGCGACCTTGAAGTCGAGAGTTAGAAACAAGTGCTGCGTTCGTATTGGACAATGAAACTGCAAGACCACGAGGAACAACATCTTCATCAGTGACAGGGTAGGTTATGACGGACAACAAGCACAAAAAAAAATTCGATCAAATAAGTATCAAACGAGAAGAAGAACAGCAGCAGCACATACACAATGATCCAATCATAACAAAACCCTGCATTGTTTACTTGGTGCCAATTCCTGCAAGGTCATGAAATCGGTTCCCAAATTCCGAAATGCGCCCATCCAAGGATGGATGACAAAGTCTTCGCGGTCCTTTATCGTGGTTCCAAAGTCGTGCATGTGTGCCAGAGGTATGATTCCACCCTTGGAATTGGGCTGTAAAGAAACGCCCTCCCTTTGTAGAGGTAGGTCGGTTTCATAGACGATGTCGGAAAACTCTTGTTGTCCTTCTTGTTGCTCGTTGGTGGGACGCGGCGAAGGAGCTTGTTCTTGGGCATTGTTCTCGTCTGTCGTTTGCTCACTCGCTTCTTCATGCTGACCACCCTCAACATCCTTTTTGTTGTTCTGTTGCATCGGCGCCAAAACAAGCCCTTCTGAAACCATATTTTTCAGATTGATCTGCACATCGTCGCTCATCGACACTGCTGCCGCTCGACTCCGATACGTCCGATGCCCATACCCGATATTGCGTTCTTTGTCCTTGATGTAGGAGTTTACATCGATCAACAAGGTAGCAGGCTTCTTGCGGATACAGTAAAGCAAGTCCTTCCGAAAATACTCGACTGGTAAACCGCCACTTTCTTCAGTTGCTTGGTCGTCGAGAGGGAGAGAAGAAGCATCTGCATCTGCTTCCTCAGTAGAAGAGGAAGACTCTCCCTCTGACAATCCTAGACTTGCAGCAAGCTCACTCGACTCTACTTCTCCAGCTGCCTCAACGACGTTAGAAGACTCCTCTCCCTCTTGAGCAGGAGTTCCACGACTAGCACCAGGCAGAGGCGGTCGACTTTCCTTCTTCTTTCGTCCGGAAAGGAGTTCTTCCATTGGTGTCTCACTTGTTTTCATCAAAGCGTGACGACGTCCATGATAGAAATCATCGACCTCACGAGCAGCCCAGACACCTTCATGCGGTTGCACCGTCGACTTCACGAAACACTTCACGTCGCTGGACCATCTTTCGAAGACCAAGGGGATTAGAGCTTGAAGTTGATGAACGAGAGCAGAATTGATTCGAGGAGGCTCAAGTTTTGTCCTATTTCAAGTTCAACCTTGCTTTTAGTTCTTGTTCTAAAAGGGGAATACGAAATGCTTTACGTCTACACTTATATCCAGACTTTCACAATCACGACCACATAAAGTCAAAGCTTTCTGCAACGTCGACCATTCTTGCTCGTCATCTACCGCAATAACGATGTCAATATCGTTCTCCAGGAAGTCCGGATGCTCTCCCAGCTCCCTCGCACCACTTGCGCCATATCGCATCAAGGCAATCAGGGTGCCACGGATTGGCCACTTTGATTAGACTACCACGAAGAGTAGATTTGACAAGAAGAATTTCAACCAGAGACGTAACTGTGGTAATTATCTGATAATTCTGATTCTGTCGTCTTCTATTAAGACGAGCAAAGCGTGGTCCTGGTCGTGGAAGGTGAAGGATAATTAATAATTTATTTGTGTTCTTGATTGTAAAAAATCCAAGCCATATCATTCCAACCCCGGCTTAAAAGTCGCACCAGGTGGAAGCTCGCCTTCCAGTTGTTGTTGGATTCCACCCTTCATGACCACCTCCCATCCACGCGTTGGGTCAGTTGGCTGCTCAGGAGTTGCATCTGCATTCTGTCCAGAGCCTTCACTGTTCTCTCCTGTAGAAGTACTAGCTTTCATCACTTTCCCCAATCCAAAGCCTCCACCACCATCAAGAATCTCTGCTATTTCTCTAAACGAAGCGTGGTAGTAATCTGCAAATTCTTGGTCTGTCAAATTGCCTTGCTTGTTCACGCCGGTCCAGATTAGCGCTCACACGAAGAGTTCATCCCTGCGGAGATGATCCCTGAAGAATATACATATTGATATTTATAGTAGAATCAGGAATTTTTTGGCCCGTCACGGGTCGAGTTTCTCGGGTTGCTCGGGTTGCTCGAGTTGCTCGCCGTAATTTTTTGCGCGGCGCCCTTCGGGCGCAGCTTTGTGAGACTCTTGGATACCTTAGCAAGAGCATACGACATTCAACGACATGCCTCCGCTCCCTGGTTTTCTTCTTAATGCGCACCAACGACGAGAGTGAGTGACCACCCTCAGCTCGGGAACTCCTCCCAGCCACTTGATCAAACACGCAAGGCATCCGCCACGTACTCTTCTCTACCTGCTTCCTCGGCTGAGTGGGCCGTTCTCCAAAGCAGGCGAGAACCAGAACTCGCTCCCAGTCCCAAAAGAGACGCACTGGCCACGAACACATCCGAAGAAAAAAGGGAGAGACTGGCACCGACCCAACGACAAGCCACAGCGACACTCTCTCCCCTCAAACAAAAACAACGAGGCGAAGCCGTCGGCCCCTTAGTGCCTGGCTGTGCTTCGAACGCGCGCCCACACGCAACAAGAAAAAAAGCCGGGGGGGCTCGCTGGGGAGCCCTTCACAACCGGCCGCCCCTCTCATGAGAGAGCAACAACAAAAGCAGCCACCTCTTCACTTCGCGCAGCCACAACCGTGCCCATACCGCCCTGCTGCGCCGCATCCCGGTGAAGCGGATGGCTTCCGGTAACTCGTGCCAACTCGTTCAAGAATTGAAGCCCTTCGCTTCGGCAACTCGAGCAACTCGTTGCAACTCGAGTAACTCGAAACCCGATATTTTACTTACTCTATATATAGATACTGTAGATGTTGAATGTTGTCCATTGCGTATTACCATGACGTTGACGGCTGAAGGATCACTGTCTGTACTGTAGAAGAGATGAATTCATCGCATTAGCCTTAAACCGAGATGGTCAGCATAGGCCTCGCGTCCTGCCTGGATGTCTTCTTGAAACCACTTACGGTAGCGATCCCCACGTTCCCAACCATGCACGATGTTCCAACCGGGAGATTAGAATAGACAAGTCAACAGTCGACAAACAAGAATAATGAGATCCTTCCGTTAGATACGATGACAAACGAAAATGAGATCCAATGCCTCATACTTCCACCAGAATTGTTCCGCATGTAGAAGTATTCACTTTCTCATCTTCATCCACCTGACGAGACCAAAAACGCCCAAACCTAGCCAGAACCACCAGCCATAATTCAACAACTCCAAGAACGCAGCTTCACCCACATCGTTCTGCACTTCCCAATACAGGGAGTTGAATTCCATAACGTCTGAGGCTGATTTCTTCAGTCTCTTCTGTTGTACCACAAGTTCGGAGTAGGCATCAGTGTATGTGATTGCCATCGTGTTTTCGATCTCGAGGGCAAGTGTTTGTAGCACGATCAACGGACAAACATCGATGATGATCTCTGAAGAGACGAGGTGGATGTTCAACTTTCTCGATTGACGGAAAAAGGTTGTAGGTTGGCGAAGTGCTTATAAGGAACCCAGCTACCAATGATATTCGAACGCGATATTGATTGATTGATTGATTGATTGACTGATTGATTGATTTACCTAGTCAAGAGGTAAAGGGGCTACCATTCAGTGGAACTCGGGGGAGTACAGCGTAAAGTGGGGATAAACAAAACTGGAAGATCCTGATGATGGTAGGGTGTGCATCTTCTTTTGCCTTGCTAACGTCGTCGAGCCTACTTCATCGTAATCATTCAAAATCAAATTTTTGCAGTACTTCGAATTTCGTAGATGACTTGCTTCAGGCCTCCGACGTACAACTGAGCTCCGGAAGCGTAGTAGTCGTCATAGTGTTCCTTCATCTTTCGATACGTCATAAAGTTCGGTCCACTCTGAATTCCACCATATTGACACGCTATATCGATTCGTTCCGCGTCAAATTTGCCGGTCTCCTCATCACGGCCAGTGTCCGGATCTATCGACCTATCAGGCGGTAAGGGCTGCTCGTGTTGCCTTTCTGCTAGGACAACTGAAGGTAGGACTGTGCCTGCAATCCATGATGTTGTGGTCGTCATGCAAAACCGAAGCAACAGCACTGAACCCAGCCGCCCCGCTGGTGAGCAAGCACGGAATGGACTCCCTCGAGGCATTGTTTATCGCCAACAAGCGTCCATCACGGTTTCCTATGTGAAACATTTATATATAATGCATATCAGATCTCCGAAACAACACTCTTCTCTCTCGCTCTCTCATTCGAAAATGCACCAATGCAATTTCGTCGTTGACGCCATTCCTTTTCCTTTCAGCGCTGCTCATGAGCGCCATCATGTCTGCCACTACGACTACATGAGGTAGTGGCATGCTTTACTGGACGAGCTAGTAGCTCTTGTGTTCAAATCACGACACGGAAATCCCAACAAGGAAGTATCTTCTCTGGTGTCAGTGTCACACTGCAAGTTACAACTACAACTCCCCTCTTGCTTCGCCCTTCAGCTGCGCAATTCAAATGTTTCCATGAAATCAAGATGCCAAGAAGGAAAGGCGACGGCCTAACAGAGACATGAGTTCATGGAAGCATTCATTGCGTGCGGAGTGGAAGGAGCTTGCATCTTGATCTCCCTCCATAGCGCTACAACTCCCCTCTGACTTCGCCCTTCAGCTGCGCGATGAAGGTTTCCATGAACTGATGTCTCTGTTGGGCCATCGCTTTCCCTTCCGTCGTTTTAATCCGGTCTTTCAGCATCAACAACTTCTCGTAAAAATGAGCCAGCGTATCAGTTAAGTTCTTGTTCGTGTTCTCAGACGTAGAAGAGTTCTGCTGCTGGAGGCTCTGGGTATGGACGTTCTCGTGGTTGTACATTTTTGAATCGGGAACGAATGTCTCAGTCAGTCTCAAACTTTCCTCGGAGTATAAAGCTCGACTTCTGCTTCCACCGAAACAGAATGTCCTTGCAACACCGATTGCCCCAATGGCATCCAATCTATCCGCATCTTGAGCGTAAGCAAGCATCGGCTCCTTGGCTAAGATTTCGGCCTCATACGTACCTGCGGGAAAGTCTTGGTTATATTTCAATTCGGTGTGATACGAAAGATTGTCGATGATGAACTGCGTCCGCTCATTGATAGTGGTCAGAGAAGTTGGTGGATTCTGTTCCATGATGGTATCCAAAATTTCCTTGTTCCTTTCTGCTTCCTCCCAAAACCGCTCGATGTGCTTCTCCTTCTCGGAACTAGCATATTTCGAATCATCGATGTCATGGAGCAGAGCCGAAATTTCTAGTGCTAATCTATCATCTTCAAGGGAAGTGCTGCTGGCATCTTTAGCTTTATTATCTCCGTTCTTCGCGTTCGTCCTGTCAAGACTGTTTTTACCTTCGTCTCCACTCTTCCCTGCTATATTCATTTTTTTCCGCCACAGACTACGTGCGATGCGCCACACGCGGAGAGCATGCTGGAAGTCGTGGGACCCGTCGTTTTTATCCATTACTTCCTTCCCAAACTTGTGCGCTAACTCAATCAAGGGGTGCAAATCATACAGCTCCGTTTCGATTTCACCAACCGCAGCAGCACCATCAACAACTGACTCAGGGGATCCGCGACACATCTTTTTCAGCGGAGGACCACTCGCGGCAGGAGGAGTGTTTCCCCTGCAGCTGCTCCTGCAGTCCGCCTCGCCCATTCTTCTTCTTGATCGATATGCTTCTTCTTCTCTTTGATAGCTACATCTTGATCGCAGATCTTGGAACCAACTCAGGAATACAGATGAACAATGCCTGTCTTCTTTCTCGCTCCCTCACACGAAGATACATCACATTTCAAAAGCCAAGCAACAGTTGAACAAATGGCGCCAGTAGTTACGCACGCCTACTGGTAGTACCATCGATAGATCTGTAACTGCTTTATTACCCTCACGGCCAGGATGAAGTTCAAATTACCTGCTGACTAAAGCAAGCTATTTTTTTTGAAAGAATCACGGTACATTTTTAGTCATTCATCTGATGTTCTTCTGTACATTTATTTGACCTATGTATAATGCTCAATCTGTTCACGACTGAGCCTTCCCGACCTCCTTGCTTCCATTACTTGGTGCCACAACCCACCAATCTCTAAATTCCTTACCCCAATCAAATTCGTTTTGCAATTCTTTCACCGCCTCAATCTTCTCCACTGGTGTTTCTCTTATGATAAAGTGTCCAGGTTCTTTCACGACCTCATATGGTGGGACGTCCTTGTCGGTCGGTTCAGGTATATCCGGAAGCGGCGTTTTGCCGATGGCTGCAATCACTTCATGCTTGTTCCAGTCGACGCGGCCACGCACAGGCACGCCTGGATCTGAAGCGACGTCCGCTTCTCCTGGTGCTGGTGGCTGGAAATCCTCTTCGAAAAAATAGCGGATTAGAGATTGATCTAGTTACTTGAGTTTGGCTGAAAAAGAGGAACTGAAAGAAGTTTTACTGTAAAAAGTAGTGTCATATATGACATTTCCGGTAACTACACCGTTTCAGATGGTTCATGGTTCAATTTACATGTATGAACTAATAAATTGCCATAACATCTCCGGTTTCTCCGGTGGTTCTGGCAGCGGTATCAAGTCTTTCACACGACCACTCTTACAGATTTCCAACGGTGTGCATTGTTGTACTCTTGGTGCCAAACTCTTCAAGTCTTCTCCCGCACTAGCTAGTTTTCCAGCGATACGACCAAGCCACGCTCCTAGGTTGTTCGGCGAGGGAATGTTTCCTTCGACATCGATTGCGCGTTTAGCCTCTTCTACTTTCTGCTGATACTTCTCACATTCCTGCTGTTCATACATCTGCTCACACCAGTGGACGCGTCGCCATTCGAGCTTTACGTTTTGTGGTTGAAATTCGTGCAGTTCGTCCTCGGTCTGGATGCGCTTGGGCGCCTCCTTGATCTCTTCTGGGATGGAAACGGGGAAAGCTCTGTCCTCGTTGGGTGTTAGACGAATTCGTAGCACTGCCTATCAACATAGACAACAAGCATCGTCCTTTCATGTATGAGTCTCAAACAAATATGTCCTCGCATGATCAACATAAATTTTTGCTCTACTAGTAGTAGAATGAAAGAACGCACCAAAACGAGAAATGTTGTAGAACCAGCCTTAACAGAGCCTGTTCAAACCAAGTCTTTCCAGCATCAGCCCTTGGCTTTCCTGGTACTTTCAGCTGAAACAGGTGGTAAACTGGCGTTGCAAGCTTGGGATCTTGACCCGGAGGAGCTAACTCAGCAGCGTTATCAGCCAATGGCGGTGTCGTGATGACAGGAGGAGGTACTTGATCTTCTGCAGGTAGTTGAGAGGGAGGCGCGTTTTTTTCTACTTGTTCGGAGGGAGGCGGACGCGGAGCTCCCTCGACATCCATATCCTCCTTCATCTTCAGATCGTCGAGTGGATTCGCCTCGTCGTTCTCACTGCCTCCTTTAGTCTCCTTAGGCTCTTCGACCTCCTTGGGTGGATTCGCCTCGTCGTCGTCGTTCTCACTGCCTCCTTTAGTCTCCTCATGCTCTTCGACCTCCTTGGGTGGATTCGCCTCGTCGTCGTCGTTCTCACTGCCTGCTTTATTAGTCTCCTGATGCTCGTGATCCTCTCCTGTATCTTCCGCCTCCCTTTCTTCTGCTTCTTTATGTAGTTCCTTAACTTCTACTTCCGACGTCGAGTCTGCTCCTACTGCTTCATCTTTTACATGTTCATGTCCACCTGTTGTTGCCTCTGTTTGCTCAACATGATCTTCGTCTTCCTCATTTTCTTCAGCAAAATGGCCTTCTTTACCAGCATCTCCAGGTCCAGTGTGATCTCCGCCTCCATCTCCATGACCTTTTAACTGATCGTCTTCCTGAACTGAAGTCTCCGGCAGCTCTGCGTCTTGTGCTTTAGCAGCTACAAGCTCACCTTCTGTTGCTGGTGCTTCAGGCTCATGTTCAAGATTAGCGCTATCTGCACTCGAGGCTGCATCTTGTACTTGTTGAGAGGGAGCAGTAGGGTTTGTTGTAGCTGCTGTGCTAGTTGTATCGTCATTTGATGCGGTCGTTGTAGCTGCTGCACTAGTAGTGGTCGTAGTGCTACTAAAACTAGTAGTACTTTTGTGTAGGTTGCCGATCGCCATCTCTGTCAGCCATCTCTGTCCCCTTGAATTCCAACACCATACCATGGGGATAGAGTTAAAAAATTAAGGATTACTGTTATTTAATCATTAAAAAATCAATGGTGATAAGCGATAATATGCATGAAAACAACATCTCAAAACCAGAAGGTTTCGATCTGAGAAGTATAGATCTATTGTTTTGCTGCAGGCTCGAAGATCTGAAGTCCGTGGTTGCATCGAAAAACACCACGGAGCACTACCAGAAGCCATACTCTTCTTACAGAGAAGAACACTAAGCATCCGTATCAACAATCCACTTGATTGCTGGCTATAGAAGTTCTTGGGCTCTTCCCAGCTGCTATAGTATAGTTTATTGCTTTACTTTCTCAAGATTCGTCGCAGTTGCAATGTGTGTTATTCCTATTGTGTTCAAATGCTTACTGTGCTGCCCTTTAATGCACAAGACACGCAAGTGGCTGTCTTTATCACTGTCAGCTGTTGTAGTGGTCTTGTCAGTGTTCAGCTGGAGTCTACATAGCTCCACCTACCCTCATCCAAAAATGGAGAGACCCATGCCAAAATTTGCCGCAATTAGCACCTTCCACCCGCACTTGCCGGACTGCAAGATTAGAAATGAGTGAGAAAACGGAGTGCATGAGTGAGCGAGGAGAAACCAATATTGGAGAGCGACAAAGCAAATGGTTAAAGCCAAGCAGAGGAAAACGAAGACTCCTAGTTTTATGAAAACTAAACTAGACAAGTAAAATATTTCACAGCCGAGGAGATATAGCGTGATTGAGTAGAACGCTTGAAACTGGTTAAAATAAGCCTTAATGTGAATGGAGCGCGAGTATGTCGAGCAGGAGGAGCAGGCGCAGCAGCAGAAACGGCATCCGAATACATCAAGGAGCTTGGGACCAGTGGTTCTAAGTTAAGTTAGGGCTAGAGTGTTGATACAACACAAGACGCTTCATCGACGCCAGAGCTACAACAGGATAGCAACACGAAAAGAGCCCTACTAGATTAGAGGAGTCAGTGTCTTTTCGTGCTGCGATTAGTTCATTTGTGCTAATCTTTCGATGAAGGGCTGAGGTGTCGCTTAACGCAGTGGCCCACGTTTTCGTCCGGTCGAGTCAACAGATTCTGAGATAAGCAGATGAGGAAGCGCAAGACCTCTCGAGCATGCACCAACAAGAACTGCAAGGCGCGAAGGCTTCTCACATTTCGAAAAGATTCAAGTTTTTCACTTTTCTTTATGCTAGAGCGGAACGTTGAAAAAACAGACTGAATTCAATAGCGCAATGCGCATCAATCTAAACAACTGCGCGAAGAGCGGGAGCTGCATAAGACACCGCTCAAAATGCCAGAACCTCTACTAAGAGAACAAGAGGAAAATAACAAACCACGCAAACCTAAAAAAGTGGGAAGTTTGTTGGGTTGATGAAGATACCCGATGACTGTGGTCCCTCGATGAATGTACGATGCGGACTACAACTAGGCAAGAGAAGATGACTCAACGTTGATGCACATTAAGGTCTCTCCAGCACGATACTACGACAGCTTGCGTTTTTGCGAGTCCCTCTACGTTTCCCAAACAACGCACAGGCAAGTCACAGCAACTATATCCTCACTCGCTCATCTCGTTCGACCGAGAGGGCCGACGCGATCGGATCAACTATGCGCTTTCACCTTAAGAACCCGTATGGTTTCAGCGTACTCTCAGACAGGGCGAGAACTCGCGCTCTTTTTCTCCATCTTTTTGATACGCATATACCAGACAGCGCGTCGCGCTTAAGAAACAGACTCGCTCATAGAAGGTCGCCAAAAATGTTTCTCGCGTCTACATGGAGTCTGTCTTAGATTCAGAAAAAGCCATACCTCATTAAAAAATGGAAACAGATCAGGAGCAAGAACTTTTCACCAGTGTCAAACTTGTGGTAGAAATGTCATACTTCGTTTTTTCTGGATATTCTTGAACTTAGTGCAGAAAGCTGCACTTTTCAGCAGTACAAAAACTAAAATGAAAAGTAAGAACGCCGCTAGATTTTTTATAGTTGTTGTAGTAAGCCTACTCATGCGCCATACTTGAGAAGCTGACTAGAAGCGCGACTGTCGACTACAGTAGTCTCCATGATTAGATTGGGACTCGTGTGGAGGTGATGCCTATCCTTCAACAAAGTGCTCCTGCTTGAGATTGAACTTGAAATAATTGAAGCACGCCGATCATTTCACTGTGAGGCAGGTGATCAAATGAACTCAGGCTAGAGCCGCTAGCTTCGATCTTGGTCTGCCTCGGAGTTGATCAGTGAGTGCCATCATGCCCTGTGCGAGCCAGAACTATATGGGTTTGGAACTAACTGCGCAAGCATTGCTAAATTCGAAAGATGCAATATTTTTACTTCCTATTCACATGATTGAATTCGCGAGCTGATCTTTCATCTGTAAATCTGCATAGTTTTAGAGCGACAGTTTGCAAGGGTTTCCATGCATTCAGTGCGGATCTAGTTGCATCGTTCTGCATGAAAGAGAAGGCGACATTTCTACTTTTGTAGTTTTGTATTTTTCGTAAGTACTTGCTAATCGTAGCAGCTTGAAAAGTCTGGGCATGAGTGTAAAAAAAGCGACTTCTTTTCGACTCTTCAGAGAGCACAGCCAAGAGCAGAAACTCCATCGCCTGAGCCTGAGTGCTTAGTGCATAATTATTATCTTCCTTAATCGAGCACCTTGAATGTGCCGACGCGGGGCACTTCTGTCGTGATTATTGATTATAGCCGCGGCCGAAAGAATTAAGAAAAAGTAGCTTTTTACTGTGGTTTTTTGAACGTAGTGAAGTACGGCGGCGTAGCGAGTTACAACATGAGCAACGTGCAGTCACACCAAAGGCTATCCCCTGTCTGTAAAATTGAAGCTCTTCCGCTCTCATTATAGGAGCAACGCCGATGAGTTCTAGTTAGTTGATATGTGCTTCACGTAGTCGAGCGTCTACCAGGCACACCTGCAGGAGAAGGAGTCCTCGCTACAACTCCTCCTTCTAATTCTTGCATGCTTAGACGCATTAGTCTCGTAGACCTTTTCACACAGACAAAAACAACTTTCTAACTTCGTCAAGACTCCTAGGGACACCTCTCGCACGCTGCATAGACTAACAGAGAGAGAGATAAAAGCAACAGCGCGCAATAGCCACGCGGGACTTCAGCTCCCTCCTGGATTCACACCAGAAGACGCGCGAGAGCGGTTTGCTTCTTGAAAACCATTGCCAACACGTTGAAGAGTAAAGCACCCCACCGAGACCACCCCGCAAACACAATATAGACCAGCGCAACGCACTCGCCCTGAGAGAGGAGGAAAATTGAGCACGTACTTGCTAAGATATTGGCTCCACAATTCTCCTGTGCATTAATTGAACGAAGAAAAACGATAAAGGAGCAAATGGCTGCTCGATGTTGTTTGACTAACAAACCTACTAAAAGTAAGAACACCAAGAAGAAAACCCATGTCACTGATCAAGGACAAAAGCGAAAGGGCGAAGCCTGCCATGAACGAAGCGCATTCACTGCGGCGGCCAGCACCACAAGCGCACAACCCCACCAGCAGCGAAAGACAGCGGCCCGAATGCACAACTTGCCACAAGTCGCACCGAGGTGGCGGGAGCGCCTCCGCTCCGCGTCGCTGGCTGGCCTGCACAATAACGAAGCGGCACGCATCGCCAAGCAAGGCCCTCAGTGGCGCGCCTGTCGAGCGCGTTGCCTTGCAAGCAGCGCAGTCGGCACACCATCACGCGCGGGCCCGGTCGGGCTCTTCCGCAGCACTTTGCGCCCTGCGACGCGGTGGCCACGCCCACAAATAATAAGGCAGCCGGGACGCCTCTGCAGGCTTGCGATAAAGAAAACGCGTCACCATGTTGGAGCGAAGTTCTGACGAGCCTCCCGCCCCCGCTCCTCATGCAGCTGGAGCTCCCGCGCTCGACTGCTTGTAAGATCCGGCTCCAATTTGCTTCCACGATGGTCCGAGACATCTGACGCCCGAGCACGCGCGGGACTGGGCTGCTGGAAGCTACTGCCGCCCGCTGTTCTTAGCATGAAAGGCAACCAAGAGCGCCAAGCTGCCGCGAAGTGTTCTCCTCATTCCATAGCTGTCCGACATGCTCCCGGCAATATGCATCGCGCACACGCTTGCAAGACGCTGCCGCCTTCTTCCACTTTCTTCGCGCCCCTGGGGCTTATGCCTTCGCGTTCGCGCGTTCTCGGCTCAGTGCTCGAAGAGTTTCGCAGCAGTCACAAGGAAGGCGCACGCTTTGCGCTGTCAGTCGGGGCGCCACCGAAGGCGGGCGCGCAGCAGATTCGTCCGCTCTTGGTCGAGTAGATGCGGCAACGCCTTGCCCGCCAGCATCTTCCACCTGCTGCCGCCATCCTTGGGCACACAGTGCCGCGCGAACCGCTCCCGGCAAGCAAAGAATCTCGCACCGAATCGGCATAGCTGGCGATGGCAGCAGGCGCCGGGCGCTTAAGATATGCGACCAGCGAAAGGGATGCACCTAGCCCAGAAGGCGGAGGCACTCGCTAAGGCCATCGGACGAGCCTGCTCCGCCACGTTTGCGAGAGAGCCAGGAGGCAAGCGGACGCGGCCCCCTAACCCTTCTCGAATCCTGGGGGGGCTGCTGCCGATTGCGCTGAGGGAAAGCGACCCACTGCCTGCACATCTCGGAAGATTCTGCCTGCGAATCAGCAGCGTCGAAAAAGTACTCACACCGCTGAGGCTTTGCGGCGAAGCGGAATGAACAAACCACGGGAAAAGGCGGCGAAGGAAAAAAATCTGCAGAAGAATCTGCTGAGTGTCGGCGGCGCGGCGCGCGGCTGCGGGACGACCTGCAGCGCGGGAACCGCGCCAGCAAACAAAGTGAAGAACTAGATAGCCTAGAAGAAAGAAGTACCTTCTTCGGACGATTCACTTGTTCTGCAAAATCGGCTTTCGAGTCGTTCCTCTCCACCGGTTTGTGAGAGGTACGATGCGAGGAAGCAGACAACAGCAGACCCTGGAGCGTGAGCGGCACCACGCTTCTGCGAATGCAAAACCACATCCCCAAAAGTCTGGCTCTTCGCAAGTGGGAGCGTCAGGAGTGTCATCGACGTAGCAAACCCCATTACGCCAGTGACCGCAGAAACAAAAATCATCATCCAGAATCGTTCCAGGCGGAAGACCAGCAAGCCGCGCTTCGTCCTCGTCAGTTTCCGGGCAGTACATGTGACACGCTGGCCCCGCGTTTCGGCTTGCTTGAACTAGTCGTCGCCCTGGCTGCGAAACCATGCTACAGGTCGGCCCATTTTTTTTTTTCGCTGCTGCTGCTTTTTGCCCCATCCCTAAATTAGGGAGTCGCGTACTAGAGCTAGACGCACTAGAAGAAGAAGACGCAGCGAGAGATTTTTCTTTTCCACCGCCAGGCACTGATGGGGCATCTTCTGGCGCTGTCCAAGGTTCTGTTGTTGAGAGAAGTAAAGCTGGAGGATTAAAAGCTCCTCTTAAGAACTTCTTTTTTGCCCAACCAACTAAAGTCCCACATCGACTGCAGTTGATATCGTACACCTTCCTCATGTTCTCATTTTCCAACCGGATCCAGTTTGCCTGCCTCCAAAAGCTGTAAGTTGTTTGGAACTGTTGCGCTTTGGCGGAGTCGCTTTGTAAAAAGCGAGCACGTGCTTGAAGGAGCTTCTGGTCGATTGCCTCAAGCTGCCACTTTCTACCAGACCCACTATCAAGCATCTTTGTTCCATCAGCTCCTTTGCCTTCGCTTGTACCTTGCTGCATGATCATGTCTGCCATGATTTCTTCTTCTGTTTTTGCGTTCGCTGTGTCGAAATCATCAGGAGCAGCCATTCCGTCTCTAATGAGGTCCTGTCGTAGTTGTGCTTCTGTCTGGCGTTGCGTGATGCGATCAGTGACAAACGACGCTAGTTGTTCGCGTGCAGCTTTTTGATGTTGTGCCCTCTGCAGCCGCATCTTCGTCTGTCGCTCGAGTTGCAATCTCCGATCGATCATGCGCTGACTTCGACACTGCCTCTCCGATACTAGAGACTTCGATATTGACGGCTGTTCTACTTTCTCCAGCATCAGATGATACACCGCTCCTGCGTAGTGTTTCAAATCGTTCAGCGGGAGACCAGTGTCCTTGTCTACTCTGAACAAGTTTTTACAACCGCGATTCACCATGAGGTCGAACGCACCGTCAACATTGAGAGTGTATCTGGGCAAAGTTGAGTAATTGAATAAAACATTCTTGAGAAGTCAACAGGTCAGAAAATATAATAAGTCATCCCTCAGAATGACGAAAGAGACAGAGACTGATGCGTCTTGAGGGAAGATTTGCATTTTCTAAAAAGGATTGAAAACAAAAAATAGAAAGTACAGCAAACTCAGCACCCGCACTAGAGCAGGGTAAGCAAACGCACTGCCTTCGACAAGTTCCATTAATTCAATCATCATCTTTGTCTTTTTCGCATCAGCTGCAGCCGCAGCCTCACTGTTACCGACTAGGCCAGACGTGTTTCCATCACCAACAAATCGAGTGCGATTTGCCGTCATGATGGATTCTCCACCGTCACCGTTTGCAACGCACGCTTTTGCATACCTTGACGCCGGCCAGGACCCTTTGAGGCTTGCTCAGAAACTAAATAGAAACAATTTTGAAAATGAAAAAAACCCCAACCAACACACGGG